AGTGAAAGTATACGCAACAGCATCTGAGCTGTAAACATAATGCGTCCCCTCGAATAAAGAACTTGTTAAAACCACACACATACAAATATATATATATTTATATATATATACATATATATATATAAGCAAACAGACATTAGAGATGCTGTAAGAAGAGAATTGTGTCTTCGTCTTGCTAATTTGCCATAACTTTGGGCTAATGCCAAACTCAGCCTCATTCTGTGCATACTTGTCTCAAACTTTTTCATTTCACGTCCCATGCGAGCTAGGCAAATTTCCGCTTTGAAAAGCAAACTCTACAAATTCCATGCCTGCGCAACCTCCGCATCGCAATCTATAGCGAGGACATTTTATTGTGTACACGTGACACACAATATTGCAATTGTCGTTGTCTTTGCCAAACAATTTGTCCAATGCTTCGTGTCCCCGAAGGCATTGCGTACTGTTGCCGTCCTGTGGTATTCAAACGTTAACTTTCGATTTTTGAGCTTCATTAAAAATGTTTAGTGCTTTATTCCGTTGGCACAGCCGCGTGTCCTGTGGCATGTCGCAGCGCCCTATGTTCCTTATGGCCACAACACCGAAAATGTAACTGCTTAGTAAATAATTTAGTCTGCCTTGTTGCGCCAATGCTTACAGCTTGCCAAACAAACTACGCCGCCACTTTATGAGGCACGGCAAAACGAAGATGCGTCGCAAGGCATTCTGGTATCGATCCGACCCGCTTGCAGGACATGCTGGTGTGGTGCTGCTGAATTACAAGATAAAAACGGTTACAGAGCAACTTGGTTTCGGCACTTCGATGATATAAATAAAGGCGCTCTTATGGACAAGCCATTTTCGTGGACTAGGGATGCTGACAGGGGATGTCCATGATACATTCGAGACATATATGTAGGCATGTTCAGTATATATAGATATATTTACATTCTGTGAGCAACAACTGGGAGACCAGATACACGCGCAGTATTTATGCGATAAACGCGTGCATAATATTTTTTTATAAAAATAATGCTACGCGTTCGAACATAAAAAGCTGTGAGACCATCTGTTAGGGGTACGCTGGCAACGAAAGTTTCCACTGCTGCTGACAATAATTGGGGATGACGTTGCCCCCTCTGAAATAATATGAGTCTTAAGGGATATCCGCGATTTCTTACCCACACTGATCTCATCGAATGCAAATTTTTACAAAAGTTAAAAAATCGTATTTACTTTTCTTAAAGCGCTCTTACGGAAGCCCGCCATCGTTCTTGAATACCGGGCATTCAGCTTGCCAAATCACTGATATCGGAATACGCACAGTCAGCGCTGCGCAATTAATTGCGGTTCAAATTATTTAAAAGTTTATGCAGAGCACGCTTATAGGGCTTTCCAAAAAATTTTTGCATAAGTCATTAGCCAAATTTACACTCGAAAACTTCACAGACAGCTAGCCGACCAACGTGTTAAGTATACGCCTCGTTTGGCAGCAGGCAACGGAGAAGACACGCAACTAATTGTATGGGTGCGTAGTATGTGTGTGTGTGCGTATGTGTAGCGATTCGATGGCTGGTGGTGCGTGATAACTCCCTGCAATTGCGGGCACATTAACGTTTCCGCCTCGCGTTTGATATAGGACTACAATGTGTGGCCCGGAATTTGTAATTATGGCTGCGGCCGCGTCCTGCTGACAGCTTAATGTAGACGGTGGTTGCCTTTACGTTCCGCACGTGTTTGGTGGCTGATCCGCTTGATTTATGTTCCGTATCGAGCCTGACTCTGAAAGTACACAGCACTTTTAGCCGAGCTGGCCGGCTGGCAGGCAAGCAGGCAAGCAGCCAGTGCGTGCTTTCAATTTTTAATTACCGTGTCGAACGCAAAACTGAGTTATTGATGTAGGTCAGAGTATAAGGTTTATGGGCGTTGAACTATATTGGTCTTTCAGTAGTTCAACTAAAGTTTCACAAAGCATTTATCAAAACCTATCGAGCAATCGTGCGCAAAGCCCTGAAAATTGAATTGACCACACAGCGTATCCTTAAAATAAAAATAAAAGCATTGGTATTGCCTTCTGTCCTTGAATCTTGTATACAATCTCAAATGTTCGATTTCTTGTTCATTTAATTTATTTAAGCTCATAAGTAGTCGCAATGTTCTGCACTTAGCTCTTACGTGGAAGCATTCATTTATCCGTACTCGTTTGTCAAGAATAATAACCGACTAATTGGATTAACTTTTTTTTTATCGATTTCCCCCTCTATAAATATCTTTGTAGAAACTTCCGCTCATGCTGCCCTGTCTGGGATCCTGGGCGTAATATAAACGGAAAGGATTACGACACTTGTTAAGCCCAAACAAAATCAATTGAATCTAAGACTAAGAGTATGAGTAGCATACTCTATTGAGGGCAGCAGACGGCAATTCGAATGCGTGGCAAATTTGTCGTTTCAGCATTAACAAGACCTTTAAAGCGGCTTACAAAACAATTTTGTGACTATAAAAAGATTATAATAAAATAAAAAAAAGCCCGAGCATAGAGAAGAGTTCGACTTAAGCGGCTTTTTGAACAAAACATTTATACGTTGCTAAAGGATGTGAAAAACAAATCATGGAAACGATAGCAACAGATTGCCAAAAAGCAATTAGCTAGCTGTAAGTCTTACTCAAATAATTTGCCAAATTTGAACATAAAATTTTAATGAAATCCTACTCGTACAAATGCTATGACTCTAAATGCCAAAGATCTCATAACACAAGATTCATACGACCATAGAAATGTGTACTACACATGTTTAATTTTAGCAAGAGAAGCCATTTAAAGCGATTTATTAAGAAACTTCAAGACAGAGCATCCCGAGGCACATCGTAAAAAACATTCATAGCAATAATAACAACAAAATTTTATGTTACCGATTTACACGTACACTTAATGGCTTAAACCTGTGAACAGATTGCTCGCTTCACAGAAGTATTTGTAAATATAAAGAATTGACAGCATTTGTTAAACTCTTTACTTTAGCACTTGTTAGTTTCGAAACTAACTCCCCTTTTGTTTGCTTTTGTTCGTTAAGTAGTTACAGGCGTTGGCAATCAAATAACAAAACTTGAGGCATCCTCAACAGTATGCGACAAATAAATCACGTATATTGTGTCTGAACGGCTGCCCCAAAACTTGATGGGTTCAAGAGTCGACTTCAGAAGCAGTAATATCCGCAAACAAGCTCTCTTACACGCACGAGCACACTTCGCGTTCGGTTTTTGCACCAAAAGAAAACTTAATTGATTTAAGCGATGCGAGCTGGTATGTGAAACTTAGCTCATTAGACGGAAACACACACACACACTTATAGTTATAAATACATGTATGTTGTGTAAGAACACTTGCGGCGGAGGTGTGGCGAAATTTATTATTTGCTGTATACTTTCAGGCGTATTTATAGTTGCTATTAAGTACAAGCTTCATGTTTCCATATGTATATAAGCGTTTCACACACAGCAGTAGTTAATTTTCTCTTGAGTTGATAAGCAATGGCAGTAATTTTTCAGCGTCAATCACACTGCCAGCGATATACGCTACGTATACGCAGCGTGGCCACTTATGAAGAGAGATAAGATACTTATACAGTTTGATGTAAATACGAATAATATGCGTGTGTGTGTGTGTGTGTATGTGTATGGAGCTTTTGCGTTGTTTGTCAATCACTTTGGAAATTGATAAACATTAAACGTACTCCATAAATAATACCACATACAACTACACGGCTTGGGACCAGGACGGTGTAAGAAAATCAAAGATCTAAGAGTTGCCATAAGGGGTGCTTAGCCTGTCTGGATATAGTACAAAAATAAATAATGTTCGTTTTTTTGAATAAGTGCCACATTAAATATTTATTTACGATAATTTGGTATCGAAGAAAACAGGAAACAGAAAACAGGTAAATTCGATGCTTATAGCTTTGTGCGAGATAATTGCTATTGATTTTTCCAATATCAATATTTGGATAATTTTCATTTATGTAGGAAGCACTTAAGCCAAATGCAATTAAAAACACAATTGTTTCAATTGCCATTACCAATATATAAAGGATTGACTTTAAATATACCAATCGCTTTGCAACATGAACCAATCGCTTAACTCAATATTTCGCCTTAATCAAATTCACTGCAACACAAAGAAAATATGAAAGTACTTCAAACTTTTAAAAAGTGGTAATTTTCGCTTGTATATTATATTTCTTTACTATGAACACGAGAGCCAAACAGCGATAATTCTTAACTGCCACTTTACACACCATACACAGCTGAATAAATACGCGCGAAATTTGGGTGTTATTCGATCGGAGTGTGAAATACAGGAAATGTCAACGCCATTTCACACTGTTGAATTGTTTATTTAAAATGTCGCTACCGCGCTGACAGCGTTAATCAAATATTTAAAGGAAAATACATTTGAAAAAGAAATGTATATAAATAAATTGGATTACAGTTCTTTACCTGGAAGACCACCATACTGTAACACCATTTATTGTTGATCATCCTTATCATCTCAGCCGCATGTTTATTAGGTTTTGCAAATTGAAGCAACGTTACGGTGTAATAAATTGAGTTGCGTAACTAAACTGCCATTTTGGGCACTGACATGGCCATTGAACCGCAAAATGGTCAAGGGTTATGCCCAAATGAACAGCCATAACAATTGAACTCTAAACAAAATGAAGAAATTAATATGCTGAATAGCAGTCGCCGAAACCTTCAGATTGCCCAGCATTACTTGATCTCGACTTAAGGTCGACATTATTTCAATTACACCGTCAATGCAATTTGAAGTCAAACGTGAGCTGCTTGGAAGTTCACAATTTGTGGGCTACTTTCCCTCCGAACACTTGGTTGTGTCGAAGATAAGGCCACGGCCATCTTTAATAGCCGTAAGGGCACGCACGTAGCTGCCAAACCAAAAGCAAACACGAGAATTTCTTTGCGGCAAATTCTTCTTCAGAAAATGTGTAATACAAAAGGGATACAAGTCTGCATAAAATTTAATCGTCAGTGTGCGTCATGGTTGGGGTTCAGGTATGCTTTTGTGAGCTTGTATATGTCTATATAAATATAAATTCATTTATGATACAACTAGAATAACATAAAATTCTTGTACTCGTACAACTAACAACAAGATTGAGTTTGGTTATAAACAGAATACAAAAGCGGCGTATGTTTGTCTGTGCCACGCCTACGAGTAGAATGTGAGAACACTCGTCTGATTGCCTCGCACAAATAAAAATGGAGGCATGCCGCGACTCAAACTCTCCAGCCAGGCCATATAGAGGGGTGCCGATACGATATTCTTGCGGGGCATGGGCAACGTCATCACGACGAGATCCGAAGTAGTTGATTGCTCCCGCAGATACTCTCTAATGCGTAGATATCGATTCGTCTTGTCCACAACGGCCAGCAGATCATCGTCGCTAATGAGGGCTATGGATTAAATACAATATTATATATTAAATATAAATTGAAAATCAACGGTCAAGCAATCTCACCTTCATCCTCGTTCAGAGTTGCTTTGCTGCTGTTGCCATTCTCCTTGTCGCCTACAACGAAATCCTTAATCAGTTCGTTGAAAAACTGCGTGGATGATTCTTGCGGCTTCTTGGTAATGTCCGGTATCAACGTCAGGTCGGAGTAATCAATTCTAAACTTGGACAACAAACTGGCCATCGAACGCTGTTCATATTCCAATTCCGCTTGCTTGTTTGCCAGTGCATAGACCCTGGAGCAGACAAAAACAAATTCATATATAAGCGAAAACATTCTCGTTCTGTAAAAATGCAATCAATTTGATCACACTAACTGAATTCAATTTAAACAAAAATATTGCAGCAAAAAAATTCCATCAGCGAGAAGTAATTGGCGCGCCTGGAAAACTAATATAAAAAAAAGTAATAACATTGCAGACTTAAGTTTCCAAACTGCGAAATACAGTATTATTCCCAATAAGAGAGCCTTATTAAAAGGACCTAGCTTGGTTTAAAGTGTGTTTCTGGAGTTTTACAATCGTAGCCTATAGAAAATATTAAGTGTCTCTCTTATTTTATATGGCTAACGATTGAAATCTACTCTCAAAATAAATTACAATGTAAGATTAAAAATCGAATTGTATTTATTTTTTGTACTGTGCTCAAGCGCATATTCTGTCAGTCACTAACTCCACTTCAACTTGTCGAACAGCGTATATAAAGTGAATAAAGCAAGAAGTTGAATCACTCGCATCGCTTGCCATGCCCAATGTTATACTTAACGCGTCACTGCATCGTGAAATAACGATAGGTTCCTGCTTTCAGAGTGTTTGTCAGTTTATGTGGAAGGCAGGCTGGTTTTTTTTTTAGGCTTTTTTTAGAATTGACAGCTACTCTGAGCTATCGGGATGACCTGCTTATTGTCTGCCAGTCTGACATCCGTATCTCTCTCTCTCTCTCTCGCTTCCCACTCCTTATCTCTGTCTCTTTCTCAATTATAGCTTCCGTCAGTCAGTCGAATTGGCAGCTGCCTTAGGCCATGCTCACCACTTAGGGAGTCCTGCTTGGTTTGTCCGTCTGCCAAGGAATTGAAGCCAAAAAGTATCTGCTGTCATGAGAGGGTGCCGAAGCCACGCGATGGCATATTTAATTCAAATTCAATTCAAGCCAAATAAATCCGCACACGTATATCGACGTACTTTTTTTAAACACCTTCGGTTTCGGGCCATTTGTGCTGCAGGGAGTGAGACCTTTTTTAGCCTGGCTTGGCATCGTGCTTACCTCAATTTACATGATTGCCAGGTGCGTCGAGTGCTTATGATGTAAGGCAGCAACAATGTGAGCCCGCCGTCGTCGTATAACCACCAGACATCGATTACGGCGTGGCTGCGCTTACGCGTAAATTGCGTCAAGTCAGCCAGCACATCCTTAGGCAGCTCGGCGCCACCAGGACCACGGTAAAGTGAAACAGGATCGTCGTGCTTCTGTTTCGATTTCCTCAGTGTATTTGGCTGTTTGTTGTATGGGAGTATATGTTGCGGCAAATTGAGCACAATATATATATATATTTCAAGCTAATCAAGCTAATCTTACCTGCTCATTGACGGTCTTGGCGTCAAGGGGATCGGGCAGCCCAGACACATCCTTCACCTGATTGGCTGCTATGAAGGATAAGTCGCTGGTGCTGGAAGCTGTGTATTGGTTGTGACAAAAATAAATGATAAGTATTCTTGCAAGCTTTTTTATGAGCATAAGAGCAGACCATAAATAATTGAGTACAATGCATGACAAAAGGCGAGCGCAAAATTATGAGTAATTCAAATGATTTAAGTCAAGCAATCATTAGTTCATTAAATACCATAAACGAGGCAATCTTATGCAATTTGCTTCGTATTGCCCCCATTCTTAAATTTGGCAAATATTCACAATTTATTTTCAAATTGGGAAATGTATGCAAAACAAAAGCTTAAACATGCACGTGCTGAGCCACCTTCCTTGGTCCCATTTGGACGAAATGGAGGAACCCTTGGACTTACGGCCCCACATGTAGTCCGCAACAAAATGCTGGGTTTCGTGCTTTTAAGGGACATTGTATAAATTTAAATTCAAATTTACGGGAATTTCTTAATTTGGGGTCGCAACAAATTGCCAAAAGGGTTGTGCAACAGCTGCCTCAAAGCCCCTCAAGAGAATCGCCTTCAACATTGGGTAGTTACCACTTGATTTAGTGGCCACTCAAGCACTTCCTCAATCTTGGCAAACACGAAGTTTTAACAGTTAGTATTCAAATTAGTTGCATGCGTCAATAGAGTTTAATTTAGCAAAGAAAAACGACTCAATTAGAGGCTACATTATGGCATTATGCAAGTACGCATGCAGTGTGCAGAGTGTGGGAGGGGAGAAAACAATATAAACTTTAGGGGTGGATTCTTCACGCTGATCATACATATTTACCTACTGGCCGTAACCCTAACTTCACTTCACATTCCATTCAATTACCTTACGACACGTAAAATTGATCTTACACTCAACTCCACCTGGCCAAGAGCGTATTCTACATAGGCCTTGCTTGAAACGCACTACGAGAAAGAGAACGAAATGGAACAGAAATGGAAAACGGAAACACAAACGCACACACAGAACTCAAAATCAAAGTAATCACAGCAAAACGCTAATGCCCAAATTTCACATCATTATCATACTTACTTTTCACAAAATTCAATCCATTATCTGTGCGAGCCAATTTGCTGGCGGCATCTAAAACTTTTGGGTTTACAGTTGTGGTGCAGATGTTAAATTGTGGTATTTTTTGCAATAGGTGTTTAAATTTGATTTTCATTTATTTTTATTTTTTTGTGCACAGGTGCGCAATTTGGTTCCATGCAAAAATAATTAAAAAATGTCGAGATTAATAAGCAGCTCACATGCAGTCAGAATTGTTAACTTACCTTGCGATACATTTCGGCTCAAAGAATCCATGCTGCCACTGAGGCCAAGCCGTGCACTATTATCGGCAGCCTGTAGATCGTTGGAGCTCTCATTTGGTTGTAAAGTGCGTGGCACCTCCAAACTGCAGTTGGCGGTTGTCCAGCTGTTATCCGGCGAACCGAGCAGTTGTGAGCAGTCCAGGCCGTTCGGCACACGCAATATGGCCACAGAGAGATACATATCAAGAGCCTGAAAAGGTATAGAATAATTATATAAGCAAAGCGCTTCCAATATACCATTACTGATTTACGATGAGCGCTTACCTTATGCATGACATTGAAATATTGGACCAGTTCTTTTCTATCGCACGTCTGCCAATCGGTCTTGTAGCCCATGAGTATGATATTTGGCTTGAGTTTGCCAATGCCCGTGGCCTGCATTAGAGCGCGTGTACCTGCCTCAAAGTCCTCGCCATCAATGAGTGCATAGAAGCCCTTGACGCGATGCTTCTGGAACCAGTTGGAGGCACGCTCTTTGAGGTAGTTGCGGTACTTCTGCGAACCGGGACCGCGCAGCACATGTCCGCAAACCAGGAGCGATAGATTCTTTGTCAGCATGTAAGCAAGATCAACTAAAACAGGACGTGTATTGGGCAGACCAGAAAGGACGAGTATCTGCGGTCGATAGTTCTTCACATGATCCTCCACATTGTTGAGCTGCTGCACGGACATCAATGCGTTCTTGTACGTCTGTGCCTGTGTGGTGGAGCCCCAGTTGACATCCGGTTTGCGATAGGCGACAATTAAGTACAGTGCCAGCACCACGCAAAAGGTGATGAGTGCTGTGGCCCACGATATCAGAAACATTACTGCCACACAGAGTATGGAACCCATAAGGCTCAACCACATATTATAATACTGTGCAGAGAATACAATTTAAAAAACTCTGTGGCAATATAATTGTAACCCACCTTAAAAGTTGGTCGCCAGCCAACTGGCTTGGCCAGGCTAGCATGGAATGTGCTAAAATTGATTAACATATAGGCGGCTAAGAAGAAATTCGAGATGAGCGGTGCAATCGAGTTGAGGTCCCCAACAAGAATAAAGCTAAAAAAAAATGCCAATATATGCGTATATGATTTATGCAATGTATCATTACAAATTTATATATGCCATCTTACTTACATCATTGATATGACAAATGTCAACACATAGCCGCGCACTGGCTCATTGTTCTTGCCATAGCCTTTGGCAAACCAAATTATTTTCGGATACAACTCATCCCGACAAAGAGCCTGTGAACGCATGCAGAATGACAAAATAATTTATTGGCCCTAAAGCATGGAATCTTGGCATCCTCTTACCTGAAAGACCTTTGGCGCCGAAACCAGACTAGCCAATGCCGATGACAATGTAGCGGCAAAACAACCAGCATAAATAAGCGGCCCAAAAGCAGATACTAATTCAATTACCTGGACCGAATTCTGCAGACCATAGAGGCATGTACCGGTGGTGGCTAAGTGAAAATGTAATTATTGAAAAGTGGGGTGAACAGCGAAGAGGGAAGGTGCGTTGCCTACTTGTCGAGCAATTTAGAAATGCGAATGAGCCGTTGAGGGTATCAACCACGTAGCCAGTGGCATCACGAGCCACGGTGCTGCCACAGATCAGAACCATTATCAAATAGGTAGCCGTTGTGATAGCAATGGCCAGGATAGTGCCCTTGGGTATAGACTTTTGTGGGTCCTAAAACACAAATATACAAGGGGACGAGTCGTAAATTTGTTTGAGAGCGCAACATTTCAAAAATGCTGTTGTGACGCACCTTTAAGTCGCCGGAAATGTTGGCGCCAGCCAAAATGCCCGTGGCCGCGGGAAAGAAGATGGCGAATACTGAGAAGAAGTCGTGACTGACATAACCCTGATGACGGTAGTCCGCAAACAGATTTGATTGGAATACCGTGGCTGCCAAATTAACTTGATTAAAAGCCTGTTCAATGACGCCCTTTTCACCGACAGTCAAACTTACCATTATATCCGATGAAGCCCTTGGCCTTCTCGCCATCATTCTTGGGACCAATGAGGCTGCCGATGACGAAATCGACGATAGCTGCCAGCAGAATGATGAGCAGCCCAATTTGTGCCTACGAGCGAGAAATCTTTAACAGTGAAGTATTAATAATAATGCCAAAAATTAATCATACGCACCTTGGCCTCCCACTCCATGCCGACGACAACGATAATGAGAAGCAACAGTATGGTGGTGCTGCCCACAATGCGCACGTCTGTAACACCACCATCAACGATTTCCAAACCCATAGCCGTCAGCATGGCCTGCAATGACTCACAGAAGCCCACCACATACATGGCGCATGCAACAACATTTGCCAGCGAGAAAATCAACCCAATGGAGCCACCAAATTCGGGTCCCAGGGACCGTGATATCATATAATAGGTGCCACCTAAGCAAGCATATTAAAAAACATTTAAAACAACAACTAAGCAACAAAGTACTCACCGCCTTTGATGACACCGTTAGTGCTTATCGCCGACATTGACAACGCCGTTATGGTGGTGACAGCGGTCGTTGTCAGTATTAATACAAACCCCTCGATGATGCCCGCCTGCCCCACCACCCAGCTGAGGCGCAAAAAGAGCATCACACCCCATATGTTTAGGAGGCACCGAACGAACACACCTTTGATCCAACCAAATTTGAGTACACCATTTGTGTTGCCCGACTCCAAGTCCTGGTTGCGTTGCAGGCTGTGCGTGTTCTGTGAAGTGAAAAGCCAAAAGTCATTTTCAATCGAGCCTGTCGACTTGTGATAGATGATGCCACATGACTTATACACGATATCGCCAGAGCTTGACAAAATAAAATGTACCCCTTAAGGGCTGATTTAATAGAGAAGATATGACATCGGTATCATTTAATAGCACTCAGCTTAGCAGGGCAACTGTCCTGCCAACATGTCGTTACTTCGTGACCTGATAATCTTATTAATCATAAGCAACCGCGACCGCAACAGCATGTGCCGCTAAATTTAACTTTTCATCTTAGCTCATTAACAAAATCCAAGAGTTTTTGACGGTGTCAAATTTCAAATACCCTTGCAGACTTACGATGTATTTTTAATGTCTGCCTAGTCGATGCTCCATAAAGTTTCGTTAAATTAAGAGATATTATCGTTTTATGCCAAGCAATCTTATTATATATATTTGCCCCAAGACATTGCTGATTTAAATAATAATTGCAACAATTTTGAATGTTCCTTTTTTAAATTTATTTTTATTTCAATTGACGCCCAGCAGGCACATCGCAAATGCGCAAAATAGAATTTTCGAAAGTTCAAAATCAATTAGTGGCAATTGATTGGCTTAGAAAATTGTATTTGCGATGCGCCCACACAACATGGAAAAGTCATAGGCTCAACGCGCAAAAGTCAATTGAAAAGTCAGCGGCCTTAAAAAGTCACTTTCGATGTGGGTGCGAAAACTTTGGAAAAGTATTGTCTCACTTGCCGGTCTCATGACGAGCACACACAATTTGGCTTGCACTAGCTGCACTTGTTACTTGCTGTGGTTCCAGTGGTTAAACTGACTGCCTTTCGTTCATGTTAAGCTGTGTGACAAGCACGCGCTCAAGCTGAACGTACCACGAACTTTGCGACTCTACGGTAATGACCTCTGATGTTGAAGTTGGTTTGTGTCAGCGAAAATGGTTCTCAAGAAGTCAGTGTAAGGAGAAAGGAACACCAACTGAAAACTTGCCAGCTTCAATTTTTCATTGTGAAGTGCACGAGCTGGCAATGGCTGTACATTTTTTTCAGCTGAACTCAAGGACATTGCCTGCTCTTGAATTTTATTCAGTTGCTATAAATTTAAATTTGTGCAGGAGCACGTTAAACCTGGAATCTTATTTATTGCAAGGCACTGGTAATAAATATGGTGCTGACCGTTAGACATTTGGGGTCGAATTTAGTTTGAAATTAAGTCTACTCACTTTGCCCACCAGCGTTGCATTATGCAGCTCGTCGAGCGTTGGACGGTAGGCGGCCTGTATGGACATCATATTACGATAATTATCCAGGCGTGGCAGCGCCTCACGAGTAAAATGCCTGCGCAATTAATCAGTGTTAGATACATTCTAGAATTTATCGATTTGGCGAAGTTACCGAAAACTTTTGCCGTATTTGGTATCATATTCATTCTCCAGAAGGTCACGTTCCTCTTGCGAATCATTTGACGAGTCCGACTCCTCATTTTGCGGATCGACTTGAAAACGCGTTGTTGTTTGAAAATCCTTAAAGCGGGATGGCTTATCCTTATCGCGAAAACTACTCTTGATGGATTGTCTGCAAATAAAAAATAATAATAAGTGCGGATAAAAAAGATTTAAGAACGGTCTCTTTTTCTATGTTCACTGTGCCATGACAAATGTATTTTTTTTTTGCTGGCCAAATTCTCTACACTGCTGGGATATAATACACAAAGAATAATAACAATAATGAAGAGCAGCAAACACTGAGCTGTGAATTGCCCAAGGCGTTGCAAAAAAGTTGGGTACATAACATACATATACACTTAAAAAGTACACGTTGCTCACTCCAAATCGGAAATGTGAAATTAAATTCAACTGGACACGGTGTTTTGGCCTTTATGGCAGTTCTGATTTTGTTTCATTTGCCAAGCATTGTCCAAGTAAATTATGTTACACTCCATTTGAACTCTCTCTAGACAAAATGCCAATTTCTGTTTGTTGTTTTTATTTTGTGCTGAGGTGCGTGCCGCACACACACTCATACATATATACACACTACCACAATTGCAGGATACGCCGCCACATATATGCGCAACACAACCCGGCGACCAACCAATCCAGGTTCATTATTGTTATTGTTGCTGCAACTTTTTGTTATTGCTAACATTATTGTTGTTGCCTATAATGAGATGCATGGCTGAGTGAATCCCTGCTGATTTTCGAGCATTCACACACAGCACAGCATTGAACGATTCACGTTTACAATGGAGAGCTATTCTGAATACGAATCACATCCACACATTTAAAAATGCTACTATATATACACTAAACAAATGCTATAATGTATTCACTCGTAAATACAAATATTTGCAATTTGAATGATAATTACGAATTACAACGAGTTTCTAGTATATTCCACTTGACATTGAAATTCGGTTCGGCGATTACACGAATTAATTAACCAGCTAAGCGGTTTATTCGTAATAGCGACTAACTTAAGGGCTTAAATGATTTAAATGTAAATGCTTCCACCGATTTGTACATATTTGAACTAAAGATAATTTATACTTATGCATAAAGAATTAAAGAAATAATGTTGGTACTCTTGCAAATTCATTCGAATATAAAGTTGGCAATGAATAATGCAGAACGGTGAAAGTAGCCTCATTTTATGGTGTGCGGGTATGTTTGATAATTTATCGCCCACGCGGCAAACCAAGACCAGACCAATAAAAGGTCAATGCCGCCACTCTCCACTCTCGCCTATGATTAACAGTCGTGAACTTGGTTAACGGTCCCGAAGGAACTCAAAACGGACTATCCATTGACTATGCAAATGTTGCTTCCAGTTCATGCTGGGATCGACTGCATCCATTGAATACACAAACAATAAATCATTACTTCTCTTGCTGTGATTGTTTGTATTGTTGCCCGCTGCTGTAGCTGCTGTTGCAACACGGTCCCATTTGCCCGTTTTCTAGGATTTTGGACAAAGCAATGCTTCTCTTTGTCGAACTTGACGAGCTTGAGGGCAGCGAACTAGGTCGACAAACTTTCGAGTAACTTGATAGATGAATGAAATTTAAATTGAAACCACCACAGACGATTGACAATTTTCAAAATTAAATTACACAAAAAGGATAAGACAACAAACAAAAACCCAAATATTCAATTTCAAAATGTTAAGTAAAATTTCGAGCACCTCAATAAACTTTAAAGGGAAAAATTGTTCAAAAAATGTAGTGCCTATTTCAACTAGTCATAAAAAACTAACTGTGAATCCCTCCATCAATTTCTACAGCCTTGCGACACATTTCAACCTATATATCTGAGGCCATAAAAATGTCAACATCTGTTATGCATACAGGCAGATAAGTAACCAAAACAATTTTAGCATGGCATTGATAATAGGGTCACGAAAAGAAATAAAGGAAATGACAATACCAAGATGAATTTGGGAAAAAACAGTACTACAGTAAAGTGAAAGTTGAAAATTTTCAAAAAGTTTGTACTCATTTACAAATTATTTAAAGTGGTCGAAATCAAGTGGAAGCAGAAAAAATAAACGTACCTCTGGTGTCTGGGCTGCTGTTTGTTCAGTAATTGTGTCGCATCGAAAGTGTCGTCCTCGAGCAGGTCTCCCTCGATGTTGGTCAAACGGCGGTAGACCTCTTCGCCGGGAGGTGGATGTGATTTGCGGTCTCCGTTGCCATTGTCATTGTTGTTTTTGTGATGGTTTACAGGATTCACTTGGAAGCGGTTGGGTCGATCGACCGAGCCCATTTCAAACGATGTTGTGTCCGACATGTTTCTCTGCCTCTCTGTCTTTATGTGTGTGCCTCTCTGTGTGCGGTTGGCTCGTGTTGGTCTGGGCTTTCAAAAGTTTTGAGAGCTTCGGTTGGGTTTCTGCGGTTGGGCTAATGCACACAAGTTATTGGGTATTCTACTTCAAAACCCATGAACTCCACTTCACCGTGTTGTAAGTCAGCTGTATTAATTGCTTTATCTATTTTCTTTGTATTCACCCACTTCAGCTGTACCACAAATATTTTGCTGCAAATGTAGTAAAAATAATACCGTAAATAAAAGGGATTTGCAGGTGAATTCATTTTGACATGGCAATGGATATTTTACATATAATATAACCAAGAATGTAAATGCAATAAAACACCTAATTAAATATTTGATTCCTAAATATTTTTCATGGAAAACTACAAAGTCACAGGTAAATATTTGGCACAATCAAGACTTTAATAATACCTAGTTACTTTATTTATAGTTCCTTTGTCTATTAGTAGTAGACTTTGTACCTCTACAAGTACGGCGGCGTGCAAATTTTTGCACAAATCGGTTTGCTAAATATAGCTCGAGCAAATTGATGCAAATTAATCATGATTAGCGGTCTCTCTGATCCCAAGGGAGACGACACGCCATGTGAGTCAAGTGTGCGTACGTACACCTAAGCCTTCCCATGGCACATCTGGCGTATGCGTTATGTGTTTAGAAGAAGGATAGGTAGTAGCAGCTCGTAAGCCAAGAAGGAATTACAGCAACTGATTGCACAGCGGCAATAATTTGTCACGGTCCTGAGACTCTCGTGCAGCAGTTGGCATTTATGGGTCAAGTTGAGAGTGCCACAAAACGAAAACGAGCAATTAGCGTCGAATGGAAGAGTCAAATAGGAAAAAAGAAACAAGCAAAAAACACGCAGAGACCTTTGAATGAAAGCGCGAGATAATTATGCCAATTATGCATTTTTTTTTTCTGTGCGGAATACAAATATGTGGGAACTTTGCACTCGGACTACGTGGAATTTGCACAAATTTATTGAGGCAATTAAGCTCTTAATTTAATGAGACCAGTTGTACACACACGACAGCAGGGGGAAGAAGGGTGTCAGCGGACAATCGACAGCTGGCAGGTTGGCATTTGAGGCTTTGAGGACCAAAACTTTGTTAACGCTTATCGGTCAGGTGGCAGGCACACGCTGAGAAGCCGTCACTTGACCTATGTACTTCAAAGAAGCCCCAGGTGTCCTTGATAAGCAACGAGGCGTTGGGCCTAAAGTTTTTGGTGACTTAGTTTAAAGAGGAGAGGGAGATAGAGAGAGAGAGAGAGAGAGAGAATTGAATTGAAACCAGGGAGCGATTCATAATTCATGAAGGCTTAAGCGATTAATTGATTAATTGCGCCATAAACAAATTCATTTGCATTCCTTCAACGCAGTACACGTGACGATCGAGTTGATGTGCGATTTTTATTTAACTTCACGTAGAAAACCATTGAAATGACTTGACAGCTGCTAAAACGCCTGGCATAAACAACGAGAAAAAGTTGTATAAAAAACTTATCTGAATAATTGCTGTTGCCATTGTCCGAGCGAGTCCAAAAAGTGAGCGACGGGCCCCCTCTTTAAATGGTCCCACAATGGGCCAATTGCTCTCGATGGTGATTTCGTGTTGCCCTGTTATGCCGGCGATTGTGTTATTGCTATTGCTATTGCTATTGTTGTTGCTTTTCTCAAGCTTTTAATTTTTTTTGTTTCTTTTTTTTTTGCCTTTTTTTCTTGGCAATGCCTATGCGAGTATGCGTATTTAAGCATTTGCTCCGCTTTCTTCTTTTGATTGCTCAATTCAACGGCCATTCGCATTTCAATTGCCACAATAAAATAACATTTTTACAACTTTCGGTGGTGGCCCATATAAAGCTTACTTCAACGCCCTTTGCTATATGGCCAAATTAAATGTTTGCCCTTGAGCTAGTAGCTCTCTTGCTTAATGGCCATGAGATAAATTTAACTTTGTGACGTGGTCGTAAAGAGTTGAGATTCAGAAATTAGAATAGCCAAAGGATACGCATTGCATTTCTAATATATTAAAGTCCTTAAAATGTAAAGTGTTTGTAGCAGCAACTTTACACCATCAAAAATAACTCAACTCAAGCTGTTAAATTGCAAGAACAAACGACCACCTTGACCATTGAGATTATATACATATATGTATGTTATATAATACAAATAAATTTTATTACATGACCTCAATTACAAGACGATAGCAAGCGGAAGCAAGCGGCAATAAAATATGTTGACGCTAAAGTTAAGACCGGCTATTGCTGCTGATGTAGCAGGTCTTAATGACAAAACATCAACACAATGGCATAACATGGTCTATGTGCGATGGGATCATGTATTGTGATGACCGTTGGAACGTGCCGTCATGGTATCGAATCATGGTCATAGTTGATGTCCTAATATTGATATCAATCGTTTTTATTCTAGATGAGAAGCGATACATGTTCAGATGGTAATCAGTAAAACGGCAGACAACAAAAAAAGAAACAAGAAACAAGAAACTTTTCGACAGGCATCACTGGTGTCCGCAACTTGTTCTCCAAAAAGCCACACGACGTGACATGACACGACCCGCCCCGCCCCGCTCCGCCCATACCCCTATGTTGTTGTCGTTCATCAGCACATGTGACCATATACAGGAAGCTGTGCTTGAGAATAGGGAGATACACATCAAAGCTGATTAACAAGCCAAGTTCTGCGAAGCAACGATAGCCTGGCAGGATGACAACAAAAAGTGTCAAAAACATACAACAACAGTTAAACAAGTCAAGCGTGTACTAATTCACAAGGGCGTAGTCCAATAAACTTAATGCTTAAAGCTATAAATGGAAAACGATATTAGATACAAACATCTAGCAGACTTATACACAAATCCTCTCATATTTCTTAAACAAGTCAGTCAAAGTTCAGGGATTACAAAGCAGAATCCTTTGACAATTTAGCTGATTTACGACTCATTTTTTGTTTTTTTTTTTTGTTGTTCAAGCATTAAAGTGTTATCTTTGAACGATGCCAATTATAGCCGTTAGATTAGGCTGTAACAAGTTATGGCATATAATTAATATTTATTAAAGCTTACAGTGACAATTTAGCTTTGACGCGTACTCTAATTAATTAATTAGCTGAACGTTGTCGGAATATTTAAACATTTATTCCATTCCATATACATTTAGAGACAAATGCAATTATTAATTCATGTTTGGCGCGCAGGTTTAAAAGTGCTTAAAAAATCATTAAAGACATTCCATTTTTTCTGAGTGTATGTAATTTCTTCAGCAACTCATTGTTTGACAAGAATAGCTTCCTAATTAGAGCCAAAATTACGAAAATTAATTGCTGAGTCCCATAAATTGATAAATTATCTTAAGCGACAGAGTCTTCCGGCTTAAAATTGAGACATACTCAAAAAGAACTGGGCTCTTCAAAGGCAACATATTTAATCATAATACATATATATACAAATATGTATTTTCAGTTTCAATCGAAAAATAAGAATTCTATTTTCCACATTTCTATTCGGATTAATTTTAGTGTGTCGAATAGAGGTATTCACACTAAAAGAAAGCAACCGATAGAAGAACCGGAGAAAGATTAATTATAACCAGTTCATTAAGCCTGAAACATTAAATGTTTTTGCTTTATGCTTCATTTACTTTTCATCTTTATCTGTTTATTATGCTTCCAATTAAACGTATCGCAATGAATAAAGATGAGTGGAGATTTATCTACAATAAAAAGAACCTTAAAGTAAAACAGGTTTTGATCAGAACAATAAATGTTAATTGCGCAGCACATAGCACATAGCAACATTAACTGTAGCTCTGTCAAATTTTGCTTTGGAATTATTAATTTATGTATGTGGCCAGAGGCAGGTTACCTACCGCCCTCCTTACACCTTTGTATGTAACTCCATTCATTTATCTATCAATATCATTTTAAATTTATCCATCAACATTTCTGGTTTGACAGGTCCAACACAATGAATAAATAAAACCGGAGGACAGCACAACGAAAAGGTTTATTTTTGTTCGAAATTTTGTATTTCTAGGAATAACTTAAGCTTAAAAATGATTTTAGGTTTTGAATTGTTGTTTAAAAGCCAAAACCACAAAACCACTTTTTTCTGGAGAGCTAACAAATCGAACCAGCAAACAGTGAGAAATAAAAAAAAAAAACAGTTTAAAAGTGTGACTGGCTATTTTTGAGAGAACTACAGCATCAAACTAAAAAGACAATACGAAATTAAAAATATATGTTTGATGCGTAATATAAATTTTACCCCATTCACTAACCGCAAAACCATCAAAGCATGGAAAATTTGAGCCGTAGTCTATTCAGTAGCCAACAATGTCGAAGAACTTTCGGTGCTTTATTATGCGACACATTTGGTTATATAAGTATGAGAGTATTTATATTATTTTTTGGCTGTAAATTTGCATTAAAAAAAAGTACCATAAATATTATTTCGCGAGTTTTTATGATGCAAACAGGAAACCTGTGAACAACTCGAACTGAAAGGCAGCCACAAGCAAGTCGCCTGTGAACTGACAAATATGTATGTTTAGGTATTGGGTAGGTCTTTTGGGGAAAGCTGGATTCCAATAAGCAATGTTTTTTTTATGATTTAAAGTCGTAAATTTGTGGCAGCATATATTTACGACTCAGAAATGGAATGCCATTCGATAAGTACCCGGGAGGCGTCCACGGATTCCCGAATTCGGAAACACAGTCTCCACCAGTCTGTGACTGCGTGGGAATTTTGGGGTGTTTAGTTATTTATGTGTGTGTGTGTGTGTGCGGCTTTTATTTGCTTCATTTGCGACAGCATAAATTAAGTGCAAAAATCTACAAAAACAAATAAATCCATATAAGTATGAAGAGAGAAAGGCAGAACAAAGAAATGCCAGCCAGCATTATAAGGTCAATAAAAAAAGTATTACGAGCATAAGGTAAATTGTTTTGACGAAATCAATGTTCCTTTTATGTTCACTTTCAATGCTTCGCAATAAATAAAGTTGCTTAGCCAAAAATCATTTTAGCGAAATTTATTCCACAAGTCATAAAAACAAACAAAGCCATCGATTAAGGGTACTTCTGATAAATTACGAAACTAAAATCGTTTCTCATAAGCCGGCATCGAGAATAAATTGACAACTTTAACTTATTGCTCATACCACACGTGTGACATTCGAAATTCGTGCTAATTTACTTGACACTTCACATGAATACAACCAATTGTTTCAGCAGTATTAAATGCTAAAGTCGACAATTTTTTCAATGCAAAATTTCCATTTTGTGAGAGTCTCGCCGTTTGTGTGCTTGAAATTCATTTGCGGCGCAAAAGCAATGCTCAAACACAGATGCTAATAAAAGAATTTCAAAAAGTATTTACACGTATCGCATTTTATCTGCATTTTTTCATGTAGCGTAAAGAACCATTCAAAATATTTAATCGTATTTATTTAATTGATTTTCCCAAAGTGAATTGAATCATGTACCCAAGAAATAAGCTTATTAAAGACGAATTTTCGTGTTTACATGTTAAATTATAAGTTAGCATTATATACATATTCATTGCTAAATACTTTGGCCAACTCATTTTGACCAGTAATGGTGTATGCGAACTGCACCGAAACACGCAAAGCAAACATAATTCTTGGAGCATGCAACATGTTAAGAACCTATTCAGAATCATGATCAAAACAAAGATTAGCTAGGTCATTCACACGCGCTTTGAATGCGATGTGAGCCACTTTAACAAATTGGACAAAAATCAAAGCTATGTATTGAGCCATCTAATCAACAACTTTGAAACTTGCCACTGAGTGAATAATGAAAATCACTTAATGTAAATCACATGCCGACAGCAGCTGCCACCTAAAATAAGCCATTAGTATTACATCGAAAAATGGGCACACAATTTAAAATAATGTATTAGAAGCTTTAAAAAAATTGGATAAATTCAACAAAGCTTAAAGTACCTCAACCCACAACAGTTTTATGAGCTATGCTCATACATACATTACAGGTAGTAGCTGGCAGCTAATTATGAGCTTATATGTGTGGGCCTTCCTTATTGAAGGGAGTCTATCTCTCACATACATAGTTCACATAATTTTACGTCTGAGTGCTCAATTTAGAACAATACGTTAGGTAGCTAGAAATAAATCCCAAAGATTGGGTTGACTGCGCAAAGTTCGTCATAAATTTGAAGTGCTCACATTTCAACTACTTATGAAACCAAAAATTTAAATGAATATACAAAATTTTCTAGGCTTATTTTAATTTTTAATTTGTGGCGGCAGCTGCAGAGAATTTAGAGAGATTGACCTGCCTTAAAAAAAACTTGCTCCCCAATTTTGACCCGCAGAATATCAAAAAACACACATCAAAGCACCGAAATTCTAATCTTCGAGAGGCCTGCACAATCGCTGAGGTCAGGTTTTGGTTTTGGGTTGCCGCTTTTTGCCCGTTATACTCGCTTATTTCGCGTGTTTTAATTAACGTCGTATTCAATTAATCGCCGCTACCAGAAGATGTTGTTTATGAGTCCCGAGCAAGACGACCGAGGCAGCGCTTTGATTGCCGCAATGTGAGCTCAGCTTTTGCCGTTTCTTTCGTTCTGCAGTGGGGCCCCACCTAAATGCCCCAAGTGCCCACGATTGCTGGTTCTGTCGTTTCGTCAATTGCCATAAATCTTGATTAAAAGCGGAAAATGTGGCGAAAAGGTGAAAATTGTTCGCGTTTCAGTCAGAGACGATTGCTATTTTCGTTGCTTTCGAGAAGGTTTTTGCATATTGCTCAAGTCGCATTTCCGTTGTGACCCAACCCCTGCACCACCCACATCCACATCCACACATCAACCCACCTCAGTTATCGCCGGTTGTAGTCTGTTCTTTGTTTTTATTTCTACTATTTTTTGTTGTTGTTCGCTTTATAGCAGACTAGTCGTGTCTATTCTCTTTGTCAAGGTTCGCAAGGTCAATGATTTAATAGTTTATTTGTCAGCTTTGCATTGCCGTCCCCCAGAGCAAACATTCCTATGACTTTTCTTTGTGTTTTCTTTGGTGACAGTGTCATATTTTCGTTATTTATTGTCTGTCGCTGACATGAAAAGTCTTTGCTTCTAGCGCCACTTGTCACAGAATGTCCAGCTCTGTCTGTCTCCGCTCTCGGCAGCGGCCTGTCAATGAAAAGCCAAAATTCAGATGCTGTTAGGCCATAAGTTGCATTTGAATTGTTTCTGTCGATGGGTCGATGAATGCACTTTGAGACAGACTCCGCTCGTCGAGCGTTTGTTTATCTGGCGAATGTGACAGTTGAGTTTCTCACGACACGCTTCGCCAATTTATACAGTGGCACAGATTAAGCATGTCACTTCCATTAAGTGCGACTTACATCTTTGTAGATGACAGAAATGAGCAACTCAATTCATTATAAAAATAATATCTGCACTTGCCGAAGATTTTTTACTTTTTAATTAAATTTTGGCCTTATAGCCCACAGTGCTGTAACGAATATCTATTCACATGAGTAGGGTACAGCACTCGAATACCACCCCTTAGGCAACTCGAACATTCGGCTGCCTTTTGGATGAATACTCGAGGGTTGATTGAGTAAACAGCGCCTGCGTAGCTTGTTAAAAAGCAGCTGTAGTCACGAAAGTTGATAGTCTGGAATCAAACATTTTGTGTACTCCTAAAGCAGGTGTGCATACTCTAAGCGCCATGTGACACACACCCGGAGAAGTTAGTGGTGTATTTGAGACTTTCATAAATGCTATTAGTGAAGCTCAGATGCATTCGGATTGTTTATATGCTTACATAGTACCTAAATATACATTTAAAAGACAACAAAAGTGTTCATTAAATTGAGATATTTATCATCTTGCACAACTTACATTATCTGGGCCACTTGTCTTTTGATTCCGATGACATTTTTTTATCTACAAACATTTGTTATCTACCTGTTATTGCCCTCAACAAGACAAAGCAATGCGAGTTCGGCAGTAAACTGATTTTGTTGATAAAAGTAAACAGGGTCAGAATTTTAAGGGGAGGCCCCTAATGACTTCAACAATAATAAAACGCTGTACATTAATGATATGAGATACTTTCTTCGCTTAGCGACGAAAGGTAACTAGATATTTGACGGCATGTTTCCGATCACATTGCATTTCAAAGTGCACATATGTACTCGTCTATATAAGTGCAAGTAAGTAGAGGCTAGAACATACTAGATATATATATATATGTATATGTACATAGTTATATACCAAGTGACCGTAAAATGTGCACCGAAAGCTCAGTTTATTCTATACACATCACGAGCACTTAAATTCACCCCGATTAGGAAATACTCTGACGTGACCGAAGAGAACACCATGGTCACTCACTGCAATGATAAGTGCCAGACATTTGGAAACTAGCCTAATGAAACGATCCCAGACAAAAAGTGCAAAGCGACTAAGGAAAACTTTAACGAGCACCAAAAAGCTGGCGTCACACATTTACTATGTATATTTGATTTATGTGTATAGCTTTGTAGATCCGTATGAGAACAAATACAGCTTTCAAGTTCAAGTGCATTTAAACTAAGCGACACTTGAAGCTAAATAAATATTGTATGTACATAAGCATACATATGTACATATGTATATGTATATATGTATATAGCATATGGACAGTCTTAAGCGCAGACTTTCTTTTAAATGCTGCTCACAGCAATATTTACCCACTGAATATTGTTTTCATTAACGCTGAGCCATGCCAAGTTTTTCAGGTCGGGGTCAGAATCCAATTTAGAGGTGCTTTTTTCGTTATGTACTTGTGAAGGAGTATATAAAGACTTAGACCTGTTATGTGACTAACTTCTAGCGTGCCCAAAGGAGAAGATCGAACAGAAAGCAGAACGAAGAATGAAGAAAAAAGATTAACAAAAAGATACACAATCTTAGGCGGAATCTGCCACATTTCGAGAAAAAGTTGCTATTAACCGAACAAAATTGGGTAGGGTCCAAAATTCTTGGAAGATGCCGATGACTCAAGAAAAATACAAATTAGACAGACGTGCCAGTATAGTCAGTGTATCATTACTGTGTCAATTGTCTGTTGACTTCGAGGCACGATGCAAAAAAGTAAACATCAACTTTTATTTGTTCGATTTGCGTGCCCATTTTAAAAGATTTTCAACAATCATTAAAAACAAAATAGGCAATATTAGTTTACAGCGGATGTTTTTCGAATGAAATCAATCCAATTAAAAGTCAAACAAATAAAATGGAAAAATTTTGCAAAGTAATTCCCTAATATCATTAAATATTTTAGGTTTTATTTTGGCAACTTACCAAAGTATGTTGATTGAATTGAAATCCTATTAAGAACGAGCTTTTTGTGTAGATATTCGTGGACGGTTCTTCATTAATTATTTATACCTCTTCTATACAGGTCTTAGATGCGGACTTATGCCACTGATACAGTAAATAAAGTTATACAAACAATCGTGCCGACAATTTATTCTCGGCGAACGAATTATCTACACCACAAAACAATATGCAAAAATCTGTAGACGAAAAACAACAAAATTCAATTCCAAACAAATGCCTTTTATCAGCAAACACACCCATGAACAAAATATAGGTACTTTTCACAATACGAATGCGTGAATACGAAAAAATATATAAACAAATTATACAAGAGTGTGTGTGTGTGTGTGTGTGTGTTGATACATAATAAGTTTTGTGGCACACGTGCATGTTTGAAATACGAAACTCGATTGTGAAAAGAAGCACAATTAACTTCAAACAAATTTCTCATTTACTTGAGACAGTGTTCAGTTCAGTGTTCTCCTCTTCGTAGCACAACACTATACACTTTTAGGTATATGCCCCCTTTAGCACTAATTGCGAGACTTCCCAAGATAGCACTTGAGAAACACACTCAAAACATAGACACACAACAAATCACCAGCCTGCCAGTCTCAGTTCAAAAAATAAAATAGCTATGCATATTTGCAGTGGCTGCTTGTCTTCGTTTTATTCATTTCGTTATTTTTTTCTCTTTTTGAGCATATGTATAAATAGCTATTATTTAAGTCAGCAATCCAAGAATAGATCGTTTATATGTTTATATTGTATCTTATCTTCACTGGAAGAAATGTATTTTTTTAGAAAGTACTTTAACTGTGGAGCACCGAAATGAGGATCACACAAGTGCGCTGAATTGGTGGCAAGCGCGACGAAACCAATTCAATATAAAAAGCCACCGCACGTGCAGAGAGCCAAAGAGTAACTGAAACGAAGAAAAGAACGGCTCGCGCGATCAGCACAAAACATACTGAAAGCAGCAAACCGACCGACGGAACCGACACAACCGACGCAGCCGGCGCAACCGTCGGAAACGACGACCAAAAGCCCCGAACCCAAACCCAAATCGCTATTACAGCGCGACATTTCAACTCGGGCCCACAAAGCTGTGACGTGATCGATGACAAATCACTGGGACGTGCAACTTTCTAAAAATTCCACTCAATGAACATGGAGTTATGCTTGAGTGACAAACTATAGTTCTACATTTGCAAATGTACACAATATGTCTCTGAGTTCATTCTCTCATGTGTGTGTGTGTGTGTGTGTGTACTCTGTGTGTGTGTGTTTCTGTTTCTGTTTGTTTATGGTGCCGGTTTTAAAGGCGCCGCATCCGTTGCAGACGACTTTGTCTGCGGCTCTGTGTGCCACAACAATGATACGTTTTTTTGTGTCGTTGTCCTTTTTCCTGTGCTAATGGGGTGGTTAGTTTTTATACCCCTGGCAACAAGGGATTCGCTGCAACGTATCTTGGACGAATGTAAATAGCAACTCAAATACATAAGGCTAAATATACACATAAATATGTATGAATGAAATTCGAATTTTCAACACATTTAAAAAAATATTCCTTAAAGGGTTTTTTTTTAGCATTTGGTTTTGTTCTGCTGTGCCATAAGCATTTAATTTAAATTTTAAATTATGAAGTGTGTTTTAGTTGGACTACTCATTGCCGATAAGGCTAACACCATTTCATTAACTGATACGATCTTTTATTACAAATAATTATGCAATAAAAAATATCTTTACATTATTGGCATTTTGTACTCAAACTATGAAGTGGCCTAAAGTTTGCTCATTACACAGACAACGCAATCTGCTCGCGCAGATTTATTATTTATACTTATATAATATATCTACATATCTGCTGTACTCACATTTATTCTACGAAGTCATAACAAACTAACAGCTTAACTTAAAACAAAGCCGCAAGTTCGAGGGAATGTGATAAAAATAAACGTCCTGCTGATTATTTAATCAAGCGCAATGCAAGTTGCAAGTGACGTAAGCATGTGTGTATTATTAAATAAAAGTTATCAGTATTTCATAAGACCTTAAGCTATGTCCAAGGTTCTGCAACGCAAATCCGCAAATGAACATAAAATGTAAATGAATTGAAAATTTTTAAAATTATGATTACTCACACTTCGCAGCCTTCTCATCCTTCATCAGCTGTTACTGCAAATTTTTTACTTTTTAAGCACATCCACATAAAATTTCTAATAAATCACATACATATGCAGATAGATTGCTGAGCACAAGAAACAACTTGTGCTCGAGCCCCCTTTTATAAAGACACTGTGCATGTCAAACACGAAGAGATATGCGAATTCATCCATCATATCAGAAAAAAAAAAAGAAGAGAAATCCGGGCATGCCTTCATAAATTTAGGTAATATCATTTTCAAAGCTCCTGAGGTCGTTTTGCAATTCACCGAATCACACACAGAAACACATATGCGAACATCCTTCCTTCATACGGATTTGAGTGAAAGTGTTTGTTGGGTGTGTGTGTGTGTGTGTGTGTGTGCATTACACCCACTTGCATATGAAAGGAACACACGCTCATGTGTCAATGGAAGCGAGGTCGAGTTGACGTCAATTTTATAAAATGATAATTAAATGTTAATGGCCTTGGGCACAGCTTAAACACGTATTTATTTTTGGATACCTTCGAGGAACATTTTCAACAATATGTGCTTTACTTCCAACCAACAATTAACGTAAATCATTTAATGCACATATTACTCAAACACTACATGCCACTCCACAGATCTTTTGACTTCGCATTTGACTGTGAGTCGTTGGGTAAGTGGGTCGCTGGGTTGGTGGGTCTGTGGGTGAGCACACATTCCAAATACAAACGTATGACATATAATTTAATTAGCTGGTGGCCTTTGAATTGCGTTCATTATAATTACATATATATTTTTATCAGTAGTCGTTGTTCATGTACGCCAGTTGGCGTTTGTCAATAAGTCAAGTGATGTTAATTAATTGAGGGTGATACTGGATATTGTCTGCGGCAGGCAACCTGCTACAAACAGTTAACAGTTGAGGCGCAACCAATTAAAACTGACATCAATGTGTATATGTATATACAGATATATACAAACATATATCTCCACGTACAACTCGGCTCTTAAACAATAATGCATTAATTCCACTCAAGCATGTAATTGAATATGAACCCAAGGCCCTGGACTGCATAAAACATTAAGTGCGTGTTTATAATCCATGTTATCTCTGTTGTAGCATGCCCTTGGCCTTTCCTGGGAGAGTAAGCCAGCCACGTTTTGCCAGGCAAAAGAAATATTAATTACATAATTAAATATGTTGTATTATTATGTAACTTACTGGCTATATCACGGCAACAAAGTTAGCCCCAGGAGACGTTTCTTAAAGTTACATTAAAATAATTTGGTTTTTTGTACTGCTTGCGAGTTGTTGAAATGATGCCTGGCAATTGTATAGGCAATGCTGCCAGGACGCACCAGCTGTCGCTGCAGTGCATCTCCATAGAGTTTAACCAGCGACGGCTCATCCTCAATCGGTTGTAGATAGGCGTCCAAGCCACCAATCAACTGTAATATATAAATGAAATTTACATGGTGATAAACACAATATAATCATCAGATTATGGCGCATACCAATTTCTCGTCACAGTTTAAAAAGCGCACTGCCTGCACGTGCTCAGACCAGATGCGACGACGCCACTTATTATCATATTTCTGAGCCAGTGGGAGCAGCACAAGTGAGCTGAACAGCTCATCTCCATAGCTGGCTGCCTCGAAGTGATTCACAAACAGATAGTAGAGCGGCTCAAAGTTGGCCTTATCCTCGAACGTGGCCTCAAAGTCGAAATTGTACGTTAAATTCTGCGTGTAGAAATCGAGCAGTTGAGCATGGAGCAGTTTATGTAGCTCTGGCTCCAGAAACTGACTATCGGGACCCATAAAAGCAATCATCAGATACATTAACTTTTCAATTGGGCTAACAATTTGTAGTCCCTGCTGCTCCAGCTGCTGCACAAAGGTGAATGTCATGCGCACCACTTGATTCTCTGTGGAAGGACTTTGCTTTAAACCTAATACAAAAACAGCAACTCTCTTAATACGACTTACCTGAATATATTACCGCAGGCGTTTGCTGCACATTTTGCAAATAGCTGTTGAGTATAACGCGTAGCTCAAAGTAAGGCCAATCTGCCATAAGAACTGGCGCCTGAGTGTAACAAAGTGTCAAGGTGGGATCCTTGTTGTCCTGCAAATTAATTAATTAAGTTTTTAGTACAGCATTTACAAATAATAAACTTTTACTTACGGCTATAAAATGGGAGTAGACAATTTCCATGCAGGTTTGTTGCAGCAACTCCAAAGATTTTGCATCCAGATCAACATACTTGCCACTAAATATATGCCGATCGAATATGCTTTTCATTTGCTTGGCCTGTGCGGTGGTCAGACAGCACAGATAATTATAGACGAGTTGCAGCAGCTGGGTGCGTGTCAAATAGGTTTCCAAGCCATCGGTGGTCAGCAGCTGATGAACAAACTTCAGTTCGCTGCGTGCAAAGAAATTACTGGCCAACACTCGATTTAGACGAGTGCTCAACTGCCTGAGGTATTCAGCTAAGGGTTCCAGCACCGCCGGCTGCAGCAGAGCCTTAAACAGTGGCTTCAGATCATTCTCCATTGGTGGTTCGAGCAGTGCCCAGAGATTACTCAATAAATGCACGGGATACGTATCGCTAACGATTAGCTGCGGCCCATAGTCGTTCATCAAGACAGCTCCCACATTTGGGAGCGGTGCATGCACATTGCGCCGGTCCGTAAAGTGGCGCAAAATTATAGAGCTCCGTCTGTGATCAGAGAGGTAGTTATTAAAACCGATTAAGCGATCAAAAGGCCGTCAATCAAATGTGACAACTCACTTCAACTGCTCAACGCATGCAATGAACCCAGCGGAGCATACAAATTCAGGCAAAATCTTGATCAGGCACTGTTGAAAGGATGCGGTGCCCAGATAGCCATGCCGTGAGAACCAATCCACGGCGTAGATTGATGTGCTCAAGAGTGTCAACTGTGTGTACTGCAATCACATATAGAAAGACATGATATAAGAAAAGTATTCAGCGGTATTTGTAGCAATTAACTCACATCCTTCAGGCTTGCAGCACGTGTCGCCTTGTGCAGCCAACTGCAGCAACAGTTATGCAATGGTTCGAGCAATAGTTGCTGCGCCTCCAAATCACATACGCCACACTCGCCGCTTGCCACAATCGCAGAGAGTACGGCAGCTGCGTGCTGGCGTATAAGCGCCGGACCGCCCACATCGAAAACGCAATGAGTATAGTGCCAATCAAGCAGTTGTCGCATTGCAGGCAGGAATTGTCTGTCACAATAAACAATTGTAAATACACAATAATAGCAAATTATTTCCGGTTTTTTTGTTTTTTTTTTTTTTGGTTGCCACCAACAATTTTAGCTATATAAATAGACATCGCTCCAGGCAGCGCTTAGTTCTAAGTAACAGCGTTAATAACTTGTTTAAAGTTGGCATTTCAAACCGTGTCTTACAATGGCATCCAAAATCTGGGGATTCACTTTAACGCTGCTAGTTTTGTGCTTTGTCATAAAGGCACAACAAGCTGTAAGTTTTTTAACATTCGTCTTTGTCTTTTTTATTTTGGTTTCTTGCTAATTCAAAACTTACACACAGCTGGATATACCTGATGTGGTGAAGAAGCAGGTGAAAAAGATGCATGCTCGCTGCATGAGTACAACGGGCCTCTCTGAAGGTATTGCAACGATATTATAAAGAATTTGCTTTAAGTAATTTACACAATTACAGAGTTAATGAACGAGGCGCACAAGGGCAAACTGCCAAGTGATCAGACTTTCAAGTGCTTTCTGCACTGCATGTTTGATATGTTTGGACTTGTACGTAGAGCCCCAAATCTATTATTGTAATTATTTATATAATATTTTCTAAACAGGTAGACCATAATAACGATATGCACTTGGACTCTTTGCTCGAAGTTTTGCCACCGGAAATTCATCCCAATATTAAGAAATTGGCGGATGCATGTGACATGAAAAGTATAGCAATTATAGCTCAACTAATTAACAGCCTACGTTTAACTCTTCATTCTACGCAATTGCAGAGGGTGCTGATGGCTGTGACACTGTCTACCAAGCGGTGCTGTGTTACTTGGAAACGGATGGTGCGTTCATAGCAGACGCGATGAACGATCTTCTCGGCTGAAGGCAAAACTCACTTGAACAATTCCCGATCCGCGATTCCTAGCAGCAGCAGGCAGCGGAGAATGCGCAACGCTTCAATCTGTACCCGTATTATTTTGCCCTATAATTAAAAAATTAATAAGTGTTTATAATTTAACATATTATTCAATCATTCGTACCTTCATATCATCACGATAGAATAAAAAGTATTTCAACCGTTCAATGAATGCTTCATTTGCCAGCTGTTGAGCTATTTCCAAATGCTGACAGATCAACACACGCATCAACTTAAGGCACAGATGCTGAGGATGACCGTAGAATGAAGTCTGTGTCGAGCTGTTGCCAGCTGCTGGTTTAGGGATTACAATTATTATTAGTAATAGTTAGTTAAATTGGTTACTCGACCACTTACTATCCTGCGGTATTTTGCACATAAAGTTAGTCAAAATCACATTCATAAGTTCTCTTTCCTGAGACAATTGTTTAGCAACATTCACATTTGTGCGTGCTATGCGTATAAGCAGCTTCAAACAGGACTCGACTGTGCTGTTCTCAGGACGCACAGAGCTCAATATAAAACTGTAGATAGATAAACGAACATTAAACTCAAGTTTTACATACACAAATAAGCAGCAAACATACTTGATACGTTGCAAGATATTCGATCGGAGCAGGCAATTAATCAGATCGGTTTCGGCCAGCTGAAAGTCATCCATGGACATCTTGCTATCGCTATTTTCCTGATCCTCATCAAAATCAGCGCTGACAGCTTTCGGATTCGTGCGCAACAACTTCATGTAACGCTGCAGAAAGGCAACCGATGTGGCATCGTTGGAATCATCGCCATCTGTGAGCACCTGCAGCGTTGGCTGCCATTGGCAATAGGCATTCTCATGGACATGGTCGAGGAGTACTTCGTCCGTCTCGTTGTAGCAGAGCCGAGCCAATGCTCTGCTTACAACTTCAAGCTGTGCCGGCGCGTTGTCGTCCAGCCCAAAACGCAGCAGAAAGAATATCTTGGAAATGGGCAACGTGAGCACCTGATCGTAGAAGCCCTGATTGTATATACTGAAAATGCCAGCAATCGCTCCAAATGCTGAGATGCGCTGCTGCAACACCGTCGAACTGCAAACAGAGACCTTAATTTAACGAAGTTTTAGCTTGGTTATTGAATGCTTCATTTACCGCGCTAGGCGAAACAGCTCCTGTAGCGTATATCCTGGACGATCGGGCTCCTCGCCATGCAAATACAATTCCCGCTCATCCACGCTTTGTGGCAGCTCCTGCAGCGTATGTGGCAAGAGCACACCCTTCCAATCGAAGCGTGCATTGAACTGATGTCCTGGCTTCAGCTGTGACATCTGGGCGGGTATATCCCTCATCCAGGCCAATTTATGATCCTCAACCAAATTGAAATTCAGCCAGTTGCCCTCATCGCTCTGCTGCAGCAGCTCGTGGGCGGGATTCGAGTCGGACAAAGTTGTTGTTGGGGGTAAAAGTTGAGGCTCGCTGGGATTAGTTGCATTATCCTTTGGCTTGGGCGTAACCTTTTTGCTTTCACGCTTTTTGGTGAGCAGCTCAATCAGAGCGGGATCTGATCATTGAGATAACATTTATTTATAATATAAGCTTTATTTTATGTATATATTTACCCAAGGAGCTTAGCAGATTCTGACGCTCCGCCAGGATGTCTTCTTTCCTCATTTGTTTCAGTATAGACGCATTTTCAGCATGGATTTCCTTCGATAGATTTTCGTCTTGAATCACAACGCTGGTTCCGGATTGCTCCATAGCAATCTTATTATCATCCGTATCCATTTGATTGCAGCTCACATTAGATGCTTTGAATTTTTGCGCAAATATACTTGACTTGTTGGTTTTGTGCTTTAAGGAAGACAATCTTTAATTAAATATTAGTTAATTGGTTGCTTTAACTAAGGCTTACTTCATTTCGCTGCTGATTCCTTGAGATGTGTCCTTGCACTCTTCCATCTGTCCTTTCCACGATTTCACCTACCACATTGTTTATCAGATTCTGATTTATTTTGCTTCCCCGCACATCGCCCAACATATTTTCGTGGATTTCATCGAGCAAAACTTGGTTGTTTCTCAAATTAGCCCCATTTTCAACATTATCAGCATTGGGTATTGCCTTCTTTGCAGTTTCTTTATCAACAATCAAGGAACCTTTAAGTCTATTCTGCTCTCGCTTCTGTGCAAACAATGATTTTGCTGGAGCTTTTGTTTAAGAAAATTGTTTAAAATAATTAATTTTATAGTCAGTTCATTTCACTCACGTTTGTCCATGCGTACAACTGTGGCAGCTGGCTGAAAATTGCGATTTTTCTGACGCTCTGCATTAAATTCGGCTGCCATACGCAGCACATCCTCTTCACTTTCGCCAGGTTTAAGTTTTTTCATCATTTTGGTATTGTTATTTAGACAAACCACAAATCAAATGCCGAACGCCAAAATAGCCGGCAACAAGCACACTGCAATAGAGATGAGCGATAACAACAACGATAACAAGTGACTGACGATCACAGTGTGACCTAATCAAAAGTAACGAGTCGTAGTAGCAGGTACATTAATCACAGGCAATGCTAGATGTGGCATTTACAGATACTATTAAGGAAAACGTAAAAAAAAATATAATAATGATAATAATTATCTATGAACTGTCGCTAGCTTAATATCGTTAACATCGATATATCAAGTACTTGGTTTAAGTAATTAGTCGGCGCATACCATATTTTCAAACGTTTTCCAATACTGCTACTCTCTTTCGCGCTCATGTTTTAAATATGCATTTTAAAAGATTTCCCGTAAACAAAACAATTTTGTGAAAATAATTAATTTATCTATAATATCTTGTACAAAACTTAATTACTGTCCCTCAAGACACATTTTAAATAAAGTATTTATTATAAAAAAACGCACAATACATTAAAGATTACTTTTTGAATGTGGAACCCGTGTTGGCCAAACATTTCAGCAATGCCTGCTGGGCAATTAATGTATCCTTGTGTGGCAGAGCTGCTATCTGGAAGAATGTATCGATGCCCTCCTTGAAGAGATCAATTGCCTCATTCGTCTTTTGGGCTTGCATCGCCTCAGCAGCCTCGCGATAAAGTTCCTCGATTTTAATGAGCTTGGCGACGCTTTCCTTCAACGAGATGTTCTTGCGGCAACGAGGACAACGCACGTCCTTGGCCAAATCCTTGGGGAACTTGAGCAAATTCACACAATTCGCCGAGGTGCACCTGAAGGGAGTTAACTCTGATAAATGTATAGACTTATATATAGAAAATCTGACTTACCAGAATCTGACTTGCTTGTCGATCTTCTGCAAAAGAGGCCAGTTCTCCTGGCAGGTCATACAATTGCAGCTGAAGGCGTAGCGACCACGCAGGGATCGCTGACGCTCCTTCAGATTCATCTTGGAGAAGATGGGCCCGTAATTGACTGCGACAATCTCGTTGGGTCGATGTGGCTTCGTGGCTGCCATTACCAACCTTTTGCCCACATAATAGCCCGCTGTGCTCGGCCAGCATTCGTGATTGAAGTAGGAACCGGTGCCATATAGACCAGCACCCAAATAAATCACCTTGCAGCCTTCGAAGCAATGCTCATCCGTCACCATCGTATGATAGATTTCATGGGCATTGTACTGCAGAACTTGCAGTAATCCGAGCAGGGATGTTGCCACCTGCAACTCGACAGCAGTGGGATTAACGCCTTCGGTCTTGCGATGTCCAAAATATTGAGCCTTCTGCAAAATACGCATAAGGAAACCCGCCATGAGGGATCTCTGCAGATAGTCATCCGGCTGGCGCACATCCTGATGGGAGACCAGATGCTCGAAAAGCAGATTCGACGTTTGCAGACCATCCTCCAGGCTGGCTGCCTGTGTAAAGATTCGCAATGCAATATAACAGAGTATGGACATCCCCGAGCCAATAAACAGATCCATAAACTGGCATTCGAAGCGATGATAAGTCTCGCAAGCCTCTCCCATGCACTGGGCGGAGCAGAAAGCAATCCCCGAGCAATGCAAACAGGCAACAGGTGTGTGCAGCCTAAAGGAACGGTCTTAGTTAGACTATATATAGATATATATTTATCTGCATATCTCACCTCTTGAAGCAATGATGACAATTGGTGCCAAAGAAGTTGGGCAGCAGACAGGCAGCCACAGGATTCTCGCTGAGCACCACATCGCCCGTCTTCAAGCCCTCATTGGCCACCACAAAGCGCCCCTTGTCCTTAGTCTCGACCAGCTTAACCACATTGGCAGCACCGCTCAGCGCTGGATTCTCGCCATGGGCCAATGCCGGCGCCAACGCTTTCTGGGCCGGCTCACGCTTGACCGCTTTGAGTCCTGCAATATCCTTGCGACAGGCTGCAATTATGGCTGTCTCAGCGCCAGCCAGCTTCTCGGCAATCTTCAGCGAGATTTCAGCACGTGCACTCTCCGCCATGACTACAAAAATAAAACCGCTTTTACATGAAGTACATATTTATTAAAATAAGTACTTGCCCGCATATGCCTTGGCCATTTTGCAGTAGTAGTCGACGCTCTGCTTGGACTCCATGCCGAAATTGGTGGCCAGCTTGAGGTCACTCAACGCAGCCTCACCCTCGCCCAGGCCAATGAGGATGGAGGCACGTGTACGATAGGCCAATGCCAGCGATAAACCATTATCCACACTCATGTCCAGCTGCGGAGCAGGTGCTCGCATCACGGCGAGATTGGCATGCATCAGCGCCTGCTTCAGCAACTCTTTGCGATCCTCTTCCAGCTCCGCATTGCTGCTCATCAGCTGGAACTTGTCGGCCTGTGCCCGACGCTGCGACGAGACAAGCACATCCTTCTCCTTGTAGACTGGCTGCACATGCTCCAAGACGCCGAGCACCGGATCACAGATCTCGCGATCACTGAAGATGGACAAGATGCGTGCCGCATTCGATTTAAGTTTGCCGAAATAGTTTTGCAGCCACTTGTCGCCACATGCCTCCTTCACGTCCAGGTAGAACTCGTTGAAGAAACCCTTCTTATCCGATTGAACGGTGCGCGTCGAGCAGATCTGCTGATAACTCGGATCGTATTCCATATTCCTTGCCACTTTAATTATGTAAAATGGAAAAAAATCAAAATGCAATTGGATTTTACGTTTCTTTCGTCACGTCTCGTTTTCCGTTTGGTTGCGCTGAGTATTGGAAACAGCTGGCGGACGGATACCCTCCAAAAATAGCACCCGATTTTTCAGTTCACCGCGTTAAAAATAATTGCGCCGGATTCGATTTGTGAACCGGTCTGCAGTTCATTTCACATCTTGTTTGAATACTTTATTTCAAATTACACCCAGTTCGCCGCTAGAGTGCGCCACAGTGCACGTTAAGCATACGCCTCCTAAATCTTTAGTTAAATAGAAAAGTTCAAAATACGTATACGAATAGTGGTATGCTTTGCATTTATTATATCGTTTATATATATATATATATGTATATATATTATTTAACTTGAGTAGGGCATACAAATCACATTAAATAATGTATTTAAAAATTAGCTAAACGTACAAAAATATAACAATATATATACCATATATGCAGTTATATATCCGTATATTCAATAGTTTAAGTTGAATTTCTTTTTTATTTTCGAAACATTCAATTCAGTAATTTAATGGAATATTTATTTATAGTATATTATATTATATATCGGCAACTACGTATTGGGAAAGAGGCTTCAAAGGGTATCTTATTTTTTGGGGGAAGTTTGTGACTAATGCACATTTGCTATCTAGGGAAATAAATCGGGTTTGGAGAACAACTCTAAGGTTATATTTCTTAAGAAAGGGCAGAATCTTTGTTCTATGACTAGAATTAAGCATTGTATGTATGAATTAATCAATAAACAGAAAAAAATATATATATGTAATTTGTAGTTTGAAGAGTTTGTATTTATTTGTATGTTTTAAATAATGCATATGATCTTGTCTTTGATTTCCAAGTGTGAGGTGTTAATTAAATAGGTGATAATGTTTTTGTTTTTGTTTGTTTTTGATTTGTTTTCCTTCCTGAATAATGATGTTCTAGTTACAAACATTTTACAAAAATGCGCAAGTAATTATTATTAGAGAATTCACAATATAGTTTTTTTTTTCTTTCGCATGTAGTACTATTTTCACTAAAAATTGTACAAACAAAAAAATTCATTGACTAATTAAGTGTAAGTTATAAAATAATAAGACATACATATGTAGATAACTTTCACAATTCGTTCAGCTCGTTTTACATTTGCTTTTCAAGAATTTCAAAAGTCCAACTAAATTTGACGTACTTGTGTAAATGGTATATTTATATAAAAAAATAAATAATTTATAATTTTGTTTGTTTGCTTTAGTCACACATAATCTCGTTGGCTTCAACTTGGTACAATCTATGCAAAAAATTGTCACTAAACTTAACAAATAAAATGCTACAAAATTTCAGCCTCGCCGTCGAACCAAAAACTGCAACTGTTTTTTTTTTCCAGAAGCGCATCATAGGTCGGTATTATTATGTATGTATGTATGTATTTGTGTGTGAGTGAGTGTGTGTGTGTGTGTATGTATGTACGTATATTATAAACTATTATCATCACATTTCAAACGTTAAGTGTTAATTGGTATTTTCTGTAATTTTATGCTAAACAAATACGAGTAGTTTATGTCTTTTGTGTACAAGCTTAAAACGCTCCTAAGTATTCATATTCATTCATATTCATTTCTTCTTTCGATTCTCCCACTCAGTTTTATTGTTATAACGCTTGGCCCAGCTTTAAGCACTTGGACTCGGTAAAACCTTGTAGCCTATTTTAGTTGTCTAAGTTGCTCTATATAGTTCACAGAGTTAACAGCGTTAACTTAACACATTTTTTGTTATTTTGTTTGTTTACGGTTCTCATTTAGTTTACTTCGACAGCATTGTCCGTTGCTTAAATCAATATTGTTTTTGCTTCGTTTTGTTTATGTTTTTGGTATATATTTTTTTAAGTTTAGCTCTGCGATCGTGTGACTATTCTAAGCACTCTCCAATGCTGTCTTATATTCTGACGTAACCTGCATGTGTCTTGTCTTGTTGTTTAAATAAATTAGCACTTAATAGTTGCAACTGCTTGAGCCTACTGCGATTGTAGGATTAGTTAAAGAAACTTGGGATTGGTTATCGCTCTCTTTTCCCCTCTCTCTCCCTCTCTCACTCTCTCCGCATCTCAAATATTTCATATTTTTATAAATAAATTAGCCATAGTATCACTTATTTTGTATTTTTAGAAAGTAACCAAAAACTAATTTAACTATAAATTATAAAGAAATATACACCAAGAGCATGGAAGAGGCTTTTTGTTGTTGTTGCTACACTTAAGGAAAGCATCTAAATCATCAGCATATCATCCATCACCATCATCATTATGTTTGTCCTATAGTAGAAGAAGGGTCTGTCTATCTGTCTGTCTGTCATCATCATCATTGCAGTTGAGAGCGAATGGCGTTAATTCGGTACACCTATCACTACCACAACTACAACGACTACTATACAAATTGGAGCACAGCACAGCATTGCATAAAGCACACATCCGATCGATCCGCACTGCAGACGGCGGCGGCAGCGACACGTAATCAGATCACAGATAAACAGATCACGACATTTTGATGCCCAGCGCTCGACTTGAATATTCGTAGACCACATAGCTAATGGAAACGGCGGGCAACACCTTCAGGAAATTGGGCGTTATGCCACGATATAATCCTGTGAGGCCCTCCTGCCGGACGATCTTGCGAAACAGTCCCGTCATTGTCTCCTGCCCGCTGTGCGCATCGCTGCTCTTCAATGGAATTTGTGTTTTTCGCGACTGGCTCGAAATCGTCGCATCGGCGGCTAAAGAAAATAAAATAATTTACAATTTAGATAGATGAACAAATTTGAGGATTGCAAATATAAACGCACCTTGTGCCTGTAGCCGCGTGCGCACCAAGGCCAATGGATACGAGCAGAGTTGTCCGAGTGCGCTCGATGTGCTGCCGCAGGCGAGGAGCACCAGGAAACTGGGCTGCTCATTATTATCGTGGCTGGCAATATAGCGACGCTTGAGCGTCTCATAAACGGCCAGATCGATGCCTGCGTAGGGCAAGATGCCCAATATATTGGGCACATATCCACGATAGAAACTCCGCGCGCCCTCGTTCTTATAGATCTTTGCCGCCGCATCGGCGATGCCCGCGTATTGTCCCGTCTTGCGCAGAGCCAGACGCGTCTTTAATACTTCCATGGGATAGATGATGGTCTGTGAAATGCCACCGGCTGCGGCGCCGGCATAGAAACGCTCCACAATCGTCATCTGTCGCGTTGTATCATTGCCGCGTATCAAACGCTTCATTTGCTCGTAGGCAGCAAATTTAAGCGCTGTTTCCGGTGCAATTTTGACCACATTGATGCCATTGCCGCGCCACATGCTGCGGAAACCGCCCTCCTTAAGCAAGATCTTCATACACTCTGAGATTCCCATTCGACATGTTTGCACCTAGTAAGACAAGGGATTAGTTGGGTTGCTAAAATCATATAGAATATATATTAGTTTACCTGTAGGAAGACTTTAACTCTGTCCAGGGGAGCTGTGCATGTGCGTGAAACTGCGCCTGCGATGCCACCGGCCACAAGATGGCGCCACCAGAGGCCCGTTTGCATTTCCTTTTGTGTGAAGTCATCAGGTACATTCATATCCTCGCCAATGTCGAGGTACTGTAAAAAGGTAACAAAATACACGAAAATTATTAGTAAAAAACCAAGCTGGCAAATGAATAAATATCATGCTTAAGCTATAGCACATAAATACAGATTTGTTGGATGCTTTATGAGAGAGTCAGAGAGGGTGGGTAGATAGATAGATATACTGAATTCGCCTCTAGCTACAGCAAAGCACAAACACAGATCAACTAGATAGATGGATGGTTAGATATTCAGGTCAGACCAATTCCTTTTTCGTGTTCGCTGCTGCACTTATGCCCCACATCAGCACCACGCACATCAGCCATTCTTGAACCAGCGCCTGTAAGTATTCCATTAGTTTTTTATGCGATGGATCACAAGCGACGCAATTCTCTGTCGATTCCAGTTGAGCAACACCAACAGCAACAGCAACAGCAACAAAGCAGCAACTACAGACAGGTGTATAAAGCAACAAGAGATAATCCAAATAAGCTGTTTACCCGCACACTGTGCTCCCTGCCCCTGCCACTGCCCCTGCCCCGAATACAGTCGAAAGAAATGCATGAAAGAAACACAAAATACAATGCGGAAGAGCAAACTGAGAATACACGCAACTAGTTCTAAAAATAGACCAATTTGCAAAAGCAGCAAACTACGCAAAAAACAAAAATGACAGACGCGCTTGCCAAAAACACCTCGCTCCCCCTTCGCAACCCAATCCTCTAACCAACAACTATGCGTTTTGCCAACAATTATATCGTGTGTGTGTTGCATGTGTTAAATACTAATTTGCTTTGTTTTCTATTTCGTCTCCCGGACGTGCCTCCCCCCTTACGTTACGTTACGAACTGTCGTTACGTAATTAGCCAATTTGGTCTTGTGCCCAACAAGAAGCATAACAATTTAATAGTTTAAAGCTCGCCAGTTTTGAGCATTTCCTTTTCGAAATTTATTACGCTGAAAATATGTGCAAGTTGTGTATTTTATATTGCTATAACTGATAACAATTTGACTGATAAGCCGCTTAAGTTGAACAAAATGTCAGCAAAGCCGTCTCAAGGTGATAAAGACAAATACCACATCAAGTCTTGTGATTTTAAAAGAGCTTTTCACAAGCAAAAGGAAAAACCCAATAAATATTTGACTGCAACGCAGCTGCACAAATATTTATATATATAAAATAAAAAACATAAATAAATAACTCGGTTCAAGGTGAACACAATTTGAGCAACAATTCAATTTATATATTCAAAGTTCATTTGCCTTTCAAACAAAACGAATGACTTTCAACGAGATCTAAACGCGAGTGCAAATACCATAAAAGCGAAAAGGCCAACAAAATGTGATCTGCACTAAAGTACAATGCCATATTATTCATAACTATCCATGTGTATATAATTTAATTTGTTTTTCTGTTTTTTTTTTTTTGTGTGTACGCTTAGTTATTATATATATGCGAACGAATGCGAATTGCAAACAAAGGCGCAAGCTATGAAATTCAAATTATTATTATTATTATTATTTGTCATGTTTAACATATTTGCACCACACACTTTGGGGGAAAATTTTATAAAATGTGATGTTTTATTTGCGTTTGTCATTTGTAGAAAGCATTAAGAGCGGAAATATTATGATCTCATCTAATATAGAGAAAATAAAAAATAGAAAAATGCCTGAAATGTGGACATTGACTCTTTGAGTTTCCTGCACAAAAATATTTGCATTTACGTATTCACTTTTGATATGTCTTTACTTATTTTCATTAATGGCTCGCTAACGGAACCAAACATATATATACACATACATATATCGATTGAGCACATGACAGGGAAAAGCTTTCTACAAATTGTTCTATTTATAATAATCACTGCCAAAAATGTTTATCGCTATTGAACGTCGAAGTCTTCAAAGTAAAGTAAAAATAACAAGGAAATTTGGTATTTGAAAAGTGGCTGAATAGAGGCAATTGATATTAGTTAATGAATACAAATCGTTGGCTCCGAGGCGCTTTACCAGTTTACAGCTCAACACATTCAGTAGTCAATAAAATAAAAAATAATAAAAACCCCAAGCCAAGGCTAAAAACCCATTCAAGCCCGACTCAAAGTAACTTATGCAAGCCATGAAGGTAAACTAGGCCAGCAGAGTGCAGAAGGTGCAGTTCCCAAACTGGATCAATAACTTGATCTCGTGATCCGTTGAAGAGTTGATCACTTGACTCACAGAGTGATTTTTGCTGAAATGTATTCAGCGATTAGCGGCTAATTCCATGAAGCAGGCTCAATGACGCACCAAACATCCGCTGCCGAAACGGAGACGTCAGCAAAATGTAAAGTAAACAGTGAAATAATAATAATAATGCAAGCGATTGGAGATGATCAACATGTTTACACAAGCAGCACAACATTGCTTACGCAGCATTTGACGTCATTATGGGTTAGGGGGCGCCCAGTCCAGCCCAGCCCAGCCTCCTTCTCGCCCACACAAACACACACATAATCAGCGATAGCCGTGACTCAGTCTCCATAACTGGGTAAAGTTGGCCAAGAGCAAATGAGCATAATGACGTCGCCCAATCACTTGGCAACAGCAACAGCAACAGTAACAGTAATGAAACCCCACAAGGCGAATGCTAGACAAGTGAGAGCGAGCGAGAGAGCGAGCGAACGAGAGAGAGCGAAAAAGAGAGACGTTAATTAGACACGAGTGCGTGAGGCCCTGTGTAAGGCATGTCAGTGTGTGTGTAAGTATGTCGTCGACACGATTTAACGATCGACGAAGACGAAGACGAAGACGTGGCGAAGACGTAGACATGGACGCCAAATGTTAAATGTGTGGAGTAACACAAGTGGGGAGAGATGAGGGGTGGGTCGAGAGGGCATCAACCGGTTTCGTATCAGCAGCGCGCTTTGCGCTTTTCACAACGTCGCATTTTTCGAATGTTTGCCGCTGTTGCCATGCGACCTCTCCCGAATCGGAACTCGCAACTCTGCGTAACAATGGGAAGCCAATTCGAGTTCGAAAATACGTTTCGATTTCGAGTGAGGCAGCAGCAGCAAGTGCAGGCAGAGATAATTGCACCAGTTGCGGCCGCGGATACAGCAAGAAGAAGCTAGAAAGTGGCAGAGTAAAGCTTGCAGAAATCTGAATCGACATTTTTTGTCATCATTGCCAACATAAAAGCTTGCAAATTTTTCTAACACTGTTGAATGGAATGTGCAATTTTAGCATTTGCTTGTAATTTTTTTTTTTTGCTCACACAAATTCACTGGAAACGATAAGATAAATATTAAACAGAACACAGAATTGAATTCCAAGGGTGAGTCAGCGTCAGACACCAGACTTGGCAATTGTAATTATGACATTTAGCGGGAAACACAATAAATGATTCATAAAAATGAAGGGGATTTACATGGCTCGTATCAGAGTTAACATTTTAAACTTTAAAAAGTGTTATAAGTATAATAATAAAACCTACAAGTCTCATCATGTCACGGAATATGAAAACGAAGTCCTCCATCATGTCGCCAGCGGCTGCCATTTGTTGTATATTATGGTAGTCGACTGGCAAATTGTATTGATATGTTGTATTGCGGAACATATTGGTTTTTTTTATATATATATATTTCTGTATATCACACAAATTGAGTATTGACACGAATAAGACTCGTGCTTGTTGTTGCCAATATTCCACACTTCCGCTTTAAATGAGCGTTTAGGATGGATAGTTGTGCGTATTTGAACTGGTGCAGCTTTCACTAAATTTGTGTTGCAATGTGTGTTGCAAAAACTTTCACTGTTAATTATTATTTATTACGTTGTGTGTTGAGTATAGCAGAACTGAGGCTTTGTTCGATTAACTCACAGAACACGCGACACAGAATTAAAAAATTCACGTTTTCTGTTTGCAACGAACGAAGGAAGGCAAAGCCGTCTCCACTTGAGTATGATTACATAAAAAATCGCTGGATGAGAGCGGATTGAATTCCTAATTTAACGCGCGCACAACCTACGCGTGAGCCAGCTGCCACAAGACTGAGAGCTTTCGTCTCTCACAACGGCAACTCAGCCGACGATCGCCGTCGTCGACGTCGGCGGCACTGCTTGCTTTTGCACTTTGAGCTCAACGCCTCGCTGCGTTAGATTTTCTTTCTTATTGCTCTTACTATTATCAAACTGCTTGGCGCGTGGCTCTCGCTCTTTCCCCACGCTCCCGCTGTCCGACAATCCACTTATAACCTCCGACCGCCCTTTCCCAGCAACTGTCGCCAAACAGTCAATTTAACAGAATGATGTTAACTTATGGCAACTCCATTGACAGAAACTAGAGACTAGCGCCAGACATTTATTGTCATCTTTACGGCTTTTTATTTCTGTTTTCTTTATCATTGACTAAATTTTATTCGCATGTTCAACCGGTTCGCACCGATTTCACACTTAATCAAGGGCGCAGACACTTGCGTCAAATGCTGAGAGCGGGACGGGAAGGGGACAGTCGGTCGGGAATATTTTTGTTGATAGCCGCACAAACAGGGCATATGACGACCCGGACGGACTACTGCGTCGCAGAGTCTCAGCTGAATTTAGCTCGCCCGCGCCTTATGCCAAATGCCATGGAAATTTTATGGATTGCATACGTCACTGAAAATTGGCTTATAATAAACAAAAGAGGCAAGTCTGTTCAAAGCAAAACTTGTACTTACAGGTTAATTGGGCATTGCGAAGTGCCGTTAAAATGTTCAAAGAGATCATTTGAGAAAACTATTCAAACAACTAGACTATATGCACTTGCAAGACCTAAAAAAAACCTACGAATGTGTTATATAAAACACGAGCCACAATGCTTATCAGCAAATTAGCAAATATTATTTATTTTTAATTGGTTTTTATTTAGACAAACACTCAGCAGTGGAACTAAGGCGAATCCACTGGAACCTTGATAAGGTTGCACATTGAAACAAATAGAAATACAAATAAAAGACAAAAAGAAAAACACTGACACACCCATTTTATTGTGACAGCCATTAATCAGTCGAGTTTGCCACACACGCACACACACACATACACTGCAATTGCTCAGGAACTTAAATGGACGTATTTTAAACCGCAATAAAAAGCAATTGCAATGTTGATGTGAAGAAACACAGTCATATATAACAATCATACAATTACCAGGTCCACAAAAAGATCAAGTTACGAGGATGGTAAATACAAATAAACAGCTGGCTTTTAAACACTTTAACTAAGAAATTCCCTTTAAAATAAGCAATTGTTTTGTGCACTCTAAAACAAAAACAACAACAAAAAATGGTGTTATCGCAAATTTTCAAAATAATTCTAACGCAGACGGAATTCAGTTTTCTAGTTTCCAGTCTAGTCGATGAGACTTCTAGGACATGGACTTTAATCTGGAATACTTTTCCAAGATTATGTGCCGTAAACACAATTCAACAGCGTAAATAATTTTCAAAAAAAACTAACAACAGGCAAATAAATATGTTTATCAGCAAGCAAAATACTGCCAATTTAGCAGTCGAATATGTCATATTCAAAATCTAATTAATTCCTGACGGTACTCGGGCATAATCATATGTTTCAAGATAAGCCAAATTCTGGTTTCGAGCAAAAAGATGGCGTAGCAACCGAGAAATCGAATGGAATACATGAAAAGAAGACGAAGCTGTTGCTATCGCTTGATTCGAATCCATTTGTCAGTTTACAGACAGGTAGCAACAAAAGAACAGCCTGTTTCGAGAGAACCTGTTGACCTTAAGATTAAACATTAATTGGTGGGCAACAAACCAGCAAAGTGACTCAACAAATCAAGAGGATCGTCATGTTTCTTGTACATTCACCGTTATGTGCTTGTTGAAACGAACCAAATGGGATCATTTCAGCAAAAAAATATCATAAACAATTGAATTAAGTCATTTATGTATTCACGTAAATATATATATTAAATATATATATGTGTATAAAAAGAAATAAAACAATAACCGAGTGACAACCATAACAGTTGAAAATATGTAAACAAAATGATTATGCAGACAACAAAGCCAATGAAATGGAACTGTTAGCTTTGTCACAGCCCCTCCGCCCCACATCCCTCTTCCTGACCCACACCTATGCACTGATAAGCGCACGATAAAAGATCAGTTGACAGAGTCCAGCCTAGATGCAAACATTAAAAGCTTCGCAAACAGTTTTAAGCACAATGATGAAATAAAACACGCCGACTTACGTCAGCCAAAAGAGACTGCCAAAGAGAAATAGAGCGTTGCCGAAGAGCTTTCAAAGCTTTGGTGTTCTCTTAAATGTGTTGGCCCCCAAAAAAAATAAAGAAAGAAAAGTGCTTACTGGGTCATCCCATGGAACGATTAGGGATATATGACATGACTGGGGGAATTTGAATGTGAATTGATTGCTGGAGCTGATAAGATTTGAATTCGTGTGTGGGAGTGATTTAGCAAATGTGGCAAAGGCAAATATATATAAGTGGTAAATATATGTGGCAATGAGATATACACATATGTATCTATATATGTATGTGCCCTGTACAACGACTACAACAATAATTTGATGATAATTGTAATTAGACGGATATGTACCTTCAAATCATCCTCAGTTAGTCAGGAGTTATGCAGGTACTACACAATATAAGCATTATAGTACGCGGATATAAATAGGATTGTCAATTTGTGTATGCGAAACGAGAAACGAAGAAGGGTTGAGTAGAGGGTGAGGGGAGTAAAAAGGTTTAACAATTAGTTATCAAATGCGATACAGATACGATAATAAACGAAACTAAACTAAGCTAGACGGAAACGAGCGCGCAACAAAGTACAAATTCGAATTGGTTTGCAAATGGAAATGGAGCCACAAAGTTTACACAGGCTCCGCTTACAATAAGGCAAACAAAGGCAGGCGACAGGCAGCTGCCTGGGCAAACTTCTCGTTTCCAAGCCAAGCCAAGCCAAATCCAAATCCATATATATACAAAGCGTCTAAAATAATATGCTTATCTTACACTATTGAATTACTGGCAGCTAATATATACAAGGCTGTAGCAGCCCCGACTTACAGTAGAGTGCCGCCAAAATTTGATTAGATCGTGAATGTCCGTTGAGGGTGCCAGTAGCATAAAATCGCGCCACTCATTAAAGCTGATGTTGAGGCTGCCATCCTTGTCCATTCTGCGTGGCAATCAAACAAAATTCAATCAATTAATAAGCTCTACAAATGGCAAAGCAACAACAACAACCTGCTAAGCAGTTTTCTAGCCTCCTCGAGGTCAACGTCCAGTCCCAGATCTGCGAATGCCGATATTAGCTCCTCCAAGTCCACTTTGCCTATTCGAAAACGCATTAGTATAAATGTATATATATAGATTAAGTCTGAGCCAACTCACCATCACGATTTTTGTCCAAATGGGAGAACTGCAGACACAAATTCTTCTCATGCTCGCGTACATAGTGAAGGAACTCGGCGAAGCCAACGTTGCCACTTTGATTGGTGTCCGACTGCTGCAAGAATCTCTGTTGAAAAGAAAACAATAATTCAAATTATTATATTATTCAAATACGGTTGCCAAATGCTGAGCACGTGGCTGACCCAGACACTATGCTATGGCCAACCTTGGCCCCCGCACCCCAACATGCTATTGTTACCAAAAATAACAGCGCAACGCCCATTTGCCAAAATCAATAGCCGCAAATAATCTGCGGATCAAGCATGAAACCTTAAAAACCAAAGGCCAATTATGCAAAAATGTAAATGCACATCAGATGTTCTTGCTTTTGACATGCCAAACAGACAGCGAGGTGTGCAACAGATCAGACATTTGTGGCATACAGCAAAGCAAGGCAAAGCCCTAATGCTGAATATATCTGTGGCAAGAGACTAAACGACTAGCAGCTGCCTAGCTACTAGTCTACTTGTGGCACATCTATATACATCTCTACATCTATATATATAGTTGCAAGTTCACACTTACCACCGCATAGACACTGGACATGCCAAATTCGTGTAGAGCCGCCGACAGATCGTGTATGTCGATTTTGCCATCGCCGTCTCGATCCAATTGATTGAAGATGCGCTCCAGTCGCTCCTCGTCCTCGGCAGGAATCTCCGTCGGCACGATGGCGAGTGGCACACCCGATGCAACGATTTCCTGTGGCGGCATCGTGTGAAAATTGTGTGGCATTGTGTCGAGATGCGCATGTTGCAGCTGCACCTCCCGCTGATGGTGCTGCTCATAGCTGGTCGTTGTCGTGGTGCTGCTGCTCAGTGGTGCATAAATCGCATTTGCCTGACGTGCGTAATTAAAATCAATATTTGGAGGCTGCTGCTGATTTTGATCCGGCGTCAAATCGATGTCGATGCGTTGTTGTTGTGGTTGTTGATGATGATGAGGATGTAGTTGTTGTTGTTGTTGTTGCTGCTCCTGCTGCTTCTCCTGCTTCTGGTGCTGCTGCTGACTTATTACTAAGGACGCGTTGTTCTCGAAATCGACTTGCTTTTTAACCATTCTCCAGACTAGTTTGAACGTTGTTTTCAAGTATTACTTGCTTTCCGTATGCTCTCTGCTCAAAATATTCTTTTTTATATCTGTTGTTGTGTGGCTTGTGAGTTCCGCACAAATGCGAAAGCAATCAGCGCAGGTTGTTCCTAGTAATTTCAATGCCCGTTTCGATATAAATATATATAATTGTATATATGTTGGCCGCTCTTTTTATGGCTGACACATTTTGAATTCGGGGCTCGGTTACTTTTTGCTTGCTAAACTGAACTGAACTGAGTTGAATTGATCGGGAACGTCGAATGGAGGATCTCAGCGGCGTCTTCGTCACTCTCTCTCACTCTCTTTCTCTGTGTCTGTCTCTATAAGGTCTATAAATAAAGAAATTGAAGAAATTGTTGCTGTTTATTCTCATATTATATACACACACATACACTCACACTATATTCCTATATATTTGTATGAATCTGTATATCAAATGGCATTGTTTAAAATATTTTGTATAAAGTAAACAAAAACAAAAAAGGTAAGTATAAAAATATATAAAATGGGCGTTGCTATTTCGTTTAATATTTATCTGAATTTCGGCATTTGGCCCCTCTTCTAACCGAAAAACTGACTACGCCCTTGACATATTTGACAGAATTATCGGAGGCTTAACGAACTTTAAATACCCTTACAGATATATTACAAATTATGGAAAATTTGACTAATAGATGGTATATATACTTAAGTGATTATGACGTGACAAGGTCGAAATACCCTCGGAAAGAGTGTGAACATAAGAGCACTAAAGCAGCCAGGCATAAATCCATTTGCTTTATGGTTATTTCCCTCGAGCAGAGCATGAGGCGAATCAGCTGCTTGCCCACAAGCCGCGACGCCGTCGTGAAAATGAAGTCATTCGCAAGCGCACTTTCACTACATTTTTTTTCTTTTTTTCTTACATTTTTTTCAAAATATTTTTCAAGCTGCCAGCTGGGCAGAGTAGAAGAGAGAGCGAAGAAGTGGCGAGTGCGAATGATTCATTGATTTTTTTGAAATTGATTTAAAGGTTAGCTGCTTGCTCTGTGTGTCTCGCAGGAGGCTGCTGAAGCCTTGAAAATTAGCAACACGACTCACGCACGCACGCACTCAAGAAGAGAGTGTAGGGTGTGTATGTGTGTGTGTGTGTGGGTGCAGGACGATACTGGAACTTTCTTTCGAGTTGGAGTTCGTTTTAATTCAAGTCTTTGCGCTGATTGCCGCATGTCCATTTAACTATCTTAATTGTGCAAATGATTCGGTCTCAGGTTTCACTTTTTGTACATTTTTCATTCTTGCCAAATTGGCAAAATTAAATTTCTGCGTACGCGTTTTTGTGCACACACAGACACACACACGGGCAGAGCCACTCACACACACTGAAACAAATACAAATGGATACGAAAAAGAGAGTTGCAATGACCAACACAGCGGGTGGCGTGTTCATTACCTACTTCTTGTTAACTGTTCTAGTTGATCTGTTTGAATCAGTAAATATCTATTAACTGTCAATTTTAATTCACTTTGTATCCTAATTAAACGAGTAAACTGCGCGCACTGCCAACTCGAATGTCACGAAAACGATAAAAATCGCGTCCACACAGTTTGTTCGAAAGAAAATGAATGAAAGAACAGAGAAAACACTGCAGAAAGTTTCGTGCAGTATCGATACATCGATAGTTTTAAGCAATATGATATATATATCTAATTTGCGTGTTTCTGAAGCTATCGATTTTTTGTGTATTTTATTTATTTAAAATTTATATGTATTTTTAATTGAGGTACATTATTGATTTGACAACCAATCTAAAATGACGTGTAAATTATACTAAATGATTAGAATAAAGAGCACAACGCCCTGCAAGATATAATAATGCTCTAGTAAAATGTGCTCAACCTTAGAATACCCTGTCCTCAGTTATACAGTGTCCAATATCCGTTATTAGTAGAAAAGTTATGATCGGTGATATAATGCAAGGAATTCGTTACATTCATATATATATATTTCTGTTTAATAATTTGTTTTGTATCATTTTTATTTAAAATTGGTCTAACCTGTTAAAATTATATGGAAAAAGAGAATGTTCGTTCGTTGAAAATTCGGTACATACATATATAGATTTGAACATAATATCCGTTAATTACATTAAATGCGAAATACGAATAAATTGTAGTTTTTTCTTTAACAAAGTGACAATAACAAAAACATAATGCAAAACAAATCAAGTTAACCGTCAAAATACACATTTGTTGTATGCTTTGTTGTTGTTGTTGTTAGTTCATTAACAGATCCCATGCATCATCCTCGGCGCTGGCTTTGCCACTAGGCGCAGTTGCGGCGGGTTTCACATTTTTCACATCGAGATTGTCGAATCCTTCACTCAGCTTCTGCGATGTCTCCTGTAATTTCATGTTCCTCCGGACACTCTGACCACCCGACGGCGTATTCTGATACGATGTCTCCGCATTCTGATAACTCGCCGCATCGAAGCCGGACCAATCATCGTCCTGGGTTAGCCCGGATGCACTTGTTGTACCGCCGATAGCATTGCTGCTCAGTTGGTTCTGGTATGAGCTAGAGCTGGTCAGGTGTGTCTTATTGTTAGCATTGTCCTGCCAGCCACCCCAATCACTATCGCTAACGCCGCTCTGTTGGCCCAGGCCGCCAGCCAAGTTGCCGCCCACCGAATGCGAACGCTGATAGGCATTGTCCTCCATGCTAGGATCGCTGTAACCGCTCTGGGATGTCGCTGTATTGCTGCCCGACAAGTTATTCCAGCCACGTTTGCCAATATCCGAGACCTAAGGGAGTATATAGACACGAACTCTGTGAATATAATGTAGATTGATGTTTGAGTTTTTACCGACCTTGGAGGCCGCTTCTGTAACACCACTCTGAACGGATTCTAGCAGAGTTCCATCTTTAATCTACAACGTAAACGAAAAAAGCAAATAAAAACGCATACAAAATGAAACATATAAAAAATAATATCAATAAGCAAGAGCAGGTTTTAAAAGAAATACGTGTACATAAGACATAAATTTAAGTTTATATACTTCTGAAAATATATATAAATCTACAAGTGAAAATAAACGCAATCAAAAAGTATGTGCACATATTAAAACTATTTTTTTCTGGCAATTATATTTCCAAGCAACCACTGTAATACAAATAAAATATAGCTTTTAAAAGTATTACCTTAGTTGAAGCCAAATTAACCGTGGTAACGGCTTTCTCTTTGGCAGTGTTAGCCAACTTGGAAGCATTTGATGAGAACAGACTCCAGCCGGATGCCAGAGTGGTCAGCGTGGAGTCGATCAACTCTTGAGATTGTGTTTTCGGTGGCGGTTCGCGTGTGAAACCAAATCCAGCATATTTACCGCCCTGATTTGGTGGCAAGTTTCTGTAAATATCGAAAGTTTGATTACCAGTTTATAGCATAATTTTATATTGAAGGAACATACGCGGGTCGCGAGGCGTTCTCCACTTGGCGACGACTGAAGAACTCCTCCTTCTGGTCCTTGAACTCCTGTGTCTGGAATTGCTGATAGCCAGCAGTCTCATTGTAGGCGCCTCCACCATTCTGATAGCCTCCGCCGCCGGTGGATCCCCCGTAACCTGTTGCATTCTCGCGGGGCTGCGAACTGCCGCCGCCTGTTGCAGAGTTGCTGCCATAACTATTGGAACTATAGGAATTGCTGTTGCTCAAACGTGATTCGGCATCCTTTTGAGTCCAGGTTTTGCCCTGGGCCAGCGTCGATATCTTATCACGATATAAAGCGGCTGCTTTGGAATTATAACGTTGTGTGATGGGCGCACGTTCATTCCAATCTGGCTGATCCTCTAGAAATTCACGTGCATTGCGATTCCCACCCGCCTTCATCTTCTCCAGCTCAATGTCCTTCCATTTATCCATGGTCACGGAGCGCACAAACGAGAGATGAACGCCCAGACTGCGATGCTTGCCTGAGCATTCCAGACATATCCAGATGCCATAGGTAACCGATACCCATTGGGGATTGTGGGTGCCACACTCGAAACATTTCTGGGCGTGCATAAAAAAACATGATTTTAAGACGCGTTTTTGTCGATGTTTGCGCAATATTTGCGTTGCAATTGAATGTCAACTTACCGAATTATCATCTTGTGGCTTTAGTTCTTGCAGCACTCGACGTGTCCTGGGACTGGCCATAATTAACTAGTATTATGTAGCGTCTATAAACTTAATTTGCACACTTCAAAGTTGATACCAAAGTTTTTGCTGACGTTGGCGTTGCTTGCAATCGGGTAAATCACAGTTGCACGACATTCAAATAAAAGTGTCCAACTTGTTGTTTAACGCTGATTTCTCGTCACTAAATTAACACTTTGAACTAGTTTGTGCAATTGTTTCCCTCACCTTATACGTTAGTCATTAAAAGTTATTCGCCACAAAAAAAAAAAAGATTTGTTAATAGCGAGTTCCACTTGGAATGGTCACAATTAGTGTGACCGAATTGGGCAATGGCAAAAATGCGCAGGGAAATACGGGTTTGCTAACAAGCCGAATACTAAAATACCAAATCATACTTTTGTATCATATTTGGTTCCACTCTTTATGGAACTAGCTCGCAATTCAGTGTGGAACCATTTCGATAGTCTCTGTTTCCACTACATTTTGAATTTGCATCCAGCTATCGATTCCAATTTAGCGAAATAATTATGTGCATACATCATTCTATATTTTCCCATATCTTTATGAAATCAGCAGAATATGCATAATTTTCTCTTCCTGCAGATTACTCATTACTTGAGTTACCAAATCTTCTAAGTTTCCAAATTGACATAATGACAAACATTTGATATACACAAAAAACTATTAATTAATTTCACTCTATTGTTGATTTTCTAAAAATATAAAAATTAAATTACATAAATTTAAATATAATTATGTTTTGAAAAACAATAATTAAGTGGATGAACTTTTACATTCCTACTCTGGGAGCACTCGAACAAATTTAATTAATTAATTTTTGTATTTGGGTATTTGTAAAGGTTGCGTTATCGATGACGCGTCTTACAAATTATAACTAATCATGCTGATCTGATTTTCATATTAATTTCATTCATGTTCTTCCGACCGACGAACGCACATTTCTGCACCGTCATGCCGAAAGTTAATAAAAACAGAGATTTATCACACTCTTTACAGTAATCAATCCAAACTGTCGGTGAATCTAAGACACAGAAATTAGGGAATTACATGACCGATTCCAACACAAACAGACTGCGTGTGGTCCCTTCAAATTTCGAGTCTGACTGGCGCCGGGAGCCTCAACTTCCTTTCATATTAAATACAGATGCTTACATCCAAACATACATTAAATGCCATATATTTTTACGCATTTTTTCAATGGGTTCATGGGGATGTTACTGCTACAGCTAATGATATAATAGAGGACGATCCAGCTGCTGAAAGTCATCCCTGACTTGAATTCCATCATATTCAATATTGTAAAGTTGATGAAAACCTATTCAAAGTACAAATTGCATCAAAGATAACCTTTTTTCTTACTGAATGTTCCAAGTGCAGAGCAAGCCACTTCATATACATATATATATATAGATATATGTATATAGGGACACTTGCAGATAGCGATAAATCAGTAAATATTTCAATGTGAACATTAGCGTATAATTATGCATAATATTTTTGCAACTCAGCGAGAGATGGGAATCAGCGGGGTCCAATCCTGCCCACAGTTAATTTCTTTTCAATTTTCAAACTTGCGCATTTATTTAAGTCAGTCGCATTGCTATAATTTGCGTCCAAATGTCCACACGCCCCCTTTGGAGCGAGGGGGGCGTGGTCGAGGTATAGCCAAACGATTATAATTGGGCAGGCGACGCAAGCGAACCAAAGGATGTGTTGAATTGAAATGCCTGCCGGGTAATCCGATCGAGAGCAACTCCAACTCCAATTCCAATTCTGACTCCAGCACTGAGTTATGACGCATGGACAACTAAGTGAGCCTGGGTTTTTTGGCGGGGTTTTCTCGCTGGTCAATCGACGCTTTCAACAACTACTGCTGGAGTCGCATCCAGTGTGGAGTGGAGTGGCGTGGAGGATGCCTTTGGTGGTGGTCTTATCAGAAGCTGTTGTGCACTCCCCAAAGCTGCCAAAAATGGCATTGCTGCGCATTCATTATTCGCTTTTTCTGTCACTGCTCTTCTGTGGTTCTGTGTGTGGTGCTGTGGATACGCCCTGCACCACCACAGCAGCGCCACTGGGCATTTTGCACCAGCCAGTGAATTATTGTGTGGATATGATCAAATTATAGGCTTAGCTTTGCATTAAACTCGCATAGAAGTGCCTGGTAGTAGTTTCGCTTTCCTGCTCGCCTGCTGAGCATCCCAGTTGGCTTACATATATATATATATATAAATATATATATATATATATATATATATATAGAGGATGTCCCTCTGACGCTAACTGCTCTGGGTGAGCATGTGCAAGTTGTGTGCTGGCCAGTGTGCATCCGGTCGAATGACAGTAAGAATAATGCCTCATTCCGGCACATAAGTTGTCAGCAGCTGTGCAAACGGAAAATGTTGCAAGAACCAAGAAAAGTGCGTTTGATTTGAGTTAGTTGCACAAATTCGAAATGAATAAAGCTGAAAAATTGTATCATTTATTTCACTCGTTGAATATTCCGCGATCTGTTGCATATATAAATATATATATATATATATATACATAAAGACACAGACAATTGTATTTATTTTGCCACACGATGTTATGTAAATGAGGCGCGTTTTGTTCGCACGCCGCTGCCACAAAGTCTGCGCAGGTTGCACAGTGATCTACCCCAAAAACTCAACACACATGCAAATAAAACAAAATCGTTGAAAATTGCACCAATTAAGTGGCAATGTATATTCAAGGCAACACTCTGATCGTTGCAAGCTAGAAGGGGGGTGGGGAGTGGGGGGAAGATGCTTGGGCTGCGTATTTATCAGCGATATTAAAGCGTTAAGTGAATTACTTATTCTCTGTGGCACCAAAGCAGCAGCAGCAATGCGTTACCTTTCATGTCTACCTGTCCAGGGCGATTCCGTGTCGTTGTCGCTTTGCATCGTGCTATATAAACATATATGCATATATACATATATATATATATAAATGTGTGCCGATAGCCGCGATGTTGCATGCGACAATTATAAGCGCTGAGCGAGCGACGCCAGTTTGGCTCCCGCTCCCATGGCTACCAATGAACGGTAGACGGTGGATGGGGCACATTTGAAGCTGCCGCACAAAACCAAAGGATGATATTTACACTTACAACACACACAGGCACAGACACCAGCACTGAGGCACTGCTACTGCTTGCCACTTGCTCTTGCACTCGAAAAAACAAAAGATTTTGAACTAGAAGAAGTGCTCAATGTGCACTAGTTGCAGGAGGATCTAGGTTATTTAGATATAAACATATAAATAGTAAATTAATGCATCACAAATATAAAAATAAAATATAATTTTGTGATTATTATTGTAGAAAGAGTGCGAAGGGGAAAGCGAGCAGAACCCTATTTATCTTTCCCGGAGTAGACACCTCTCACACAGCGCTTGATCTGTCAGTAGTTGTGCACAGAAGAGATCTATATATATTGTATACATTTATATATATATTATAGTCGAGCAGATGTGTGCAAAGTGCACATAAGAAATCTATTATATTATTAGACAGTCCACAATTAGTCGGGCAGCTTCGTACTTAACACTATTTAAATGACTTCTTCGCGAATAGCGAGTTGAGAATTGCAAGTGTTTGTAGTTGTTGGTGTAATAAACAGGTGTTATATGTTTATCATTGTCAAGATGAGATATGGAAGCAGATAATGATTGCTACATTGTAATTTAGCTAATAAGATGAGAATGAGAATTGCTGAGCCATCTTGATCAATCATAAAAAGATATTTTTAACTTAAATAAAGCAAATCTCTTTATTGAGAAATTTATTTTTGCTAAAAAAAGATTACTTCAACTTTACTGATTACTGCCTCTTTTTTTTGCGAGTGTTGACCACTTCCATTGCCTTTTGCCGATCGTTTGCTGATCGATTCTCAATCGATCGGCAGCATCATGCAACCGCGCACAACCTCAGTTGCCTCCAGTCTCCAGTCTCTCCAGTCTGCAGTCTCTCTGTGCAACATCAGCGACGAATGCAGCTCCTTAGTTCAACAAATCGTGCCAAATAACACAACATAATGACAACAAAGACGACGACGACAGGAGCGACGAAGACGACGACGACGTCGTCCTCCACTTGTCTGGTTAGCTCTGCAACTGAGAGGCAAGTCGGTGATTGCCATTTCAAGATTTTGCCACTCATACTCTCGCAAGCAGACACACACACGCACACACACAGATACACACAGAGAACATTGGGGCTGGCAAAAATTAAGAGATATTTATAATAAGCACGAAAACCACTTAATACTAACGCCTTTGGCAATTAAGAGCCACAGCTATGGCAAGGATGCGAGTTAAGACATTCCAATGATCTGTAGCAGCCCAGTTGAGACACTTTCCACACACACACAGTACAGTATTCACTCACCAATAAGCGATTGTTTGAGTGAAAGTTATACTTTTCTATGCATATAAAAAGGGGATCTTTGCGAATCACTTGAAAAACACCGTCGGTGTTACAAATTTAATAACATTTTTGATTTCAAAGTATGCCAAGTGCGAGAAGTACTCATTGCAGAGCGACTACTGTACAATGCATATATATATGTATATACATATGTACATTTCAACGCCTCCTTGGCTCCGTTATTGATTGGTGGTGGTGGCTCAAGCAGCGGCATTTACATAGCGCCACATGCAGCAGCAGCACCACCGTGACTAAATGAAGCCACGTCAGCCACAGTTTCGCTTTGTAGTAAACCGTATACTCCATATCCATATATATAAATATATACATATGTATTTAAATGATATTGTAGCATGTACTTGGCAGCACAATGCCTTTTGAGCGACTCATCAAAAAGCCGCAGGTATGTAAATTTCATGGCATTAATTGTTTTCATATTGCTCGGGTGCTGAGGCATCTTTCTATTCATTGCTTTTCTTTGGCTTTCATCATTGTTGGTGCTGAGGTTGTTTTTTTGGCTTAGATGATGTTGACGCCTTCGGTGGCTCATTACAATCAATAATAGAAGCAGCTGGCGCTGCTGCTGTTCAATTGATTCTTTCAACCAAATGAATAACTGTTTCGGCTGCCAGAGGAGCTGTTGCTGTTGCTCTCTCTCTCTCTCTGTGTCTGAGTCTCTGAGTCTGGCTTAAGCGAACGATTATACAAGTGGTTTTCTGATTTGACAGGCGTTAAATTAAAATTTAATTCGGCCATCTATATAATTATAGTGATCCATTCGAGCATACACATTGACGACGACAACGAGGACGCTGACGACTCCACGACTTCTCAGCGCATGTAATTAAAGCCACATTAATCATCCAGGGCCAGAGCCAGAGCCAGAGCCAGAGCCAGAGCCAGAGCCAGAGCCAGAGCCATAGTCAGAGTCAGAGTGAGAGCCAAGCACAGGCATCGGCACAGAGAACTTGGCCCAAACGCGAACCGAGCCCAGTCAGGCAAGCCACTTCAACTCTGAGTCGATGCCTCTGTATATTTTCTTGTTGTTGTTGTTGTTGCTGTTGTATCTGTGTCTGTGGTAGCCACAAAATTGTCAGATTTGTCCACTTGAGTTATTTTTGAATGCGCGTCGAGGAGCTCCCTGCTCTCTCCCAGCCCCTACTCCCCTCTCCGGCCGAGGTGTCAACACTGCTGAATTCCCGACCAATTATACGAAACCCGTGAGAATTTATCGAAATTCTTCTATATGTATTGTCTTAAAAACATATATACACATACATACATATACATATAAATATATATATAATCATATATGTATATAGATTCATTCTTTATTTGTACTCAGCACGTGTTTAGTTTTAGTTAGAAACTGCATAAATTAAGTAAGTAAAAATTGCACTAAATTCTGGATTTAAAGCGATAGGAAAAATTGACAAATTCACAAAACTTGCACATTTTATATAGTTTTTCTTTTCTTTTCTTTAAGATATTTTCTAGCTATAGGATTTAAAGCTACACTTGGAAAATATGCCATAGAAGCTAGAAAATCGCCCTGGAATTCGAAATGAATATTTCTTAAATTCAGAAAGAAAGTTTTCGAAAGTAAATATTGTAAAAATGTTTGCAAAAATCAAAAAAAAAACAAAAATCTAAACAAAAATTTGTAGAGAGTCAATTTAGAAATGGGAAGTGATTTTTCTAGATTTGAGGGCACATTCATTTTTGCAAGTGTAGCTACTGGAAATACAGCATTTGTTGATTGCACTGTTTTTAGTTAGCCTCCGATTCCGTTTCTGGATCCTCCGCATCCACATTGATCTCATCCACATCCAGCTCCGTTTTGGCATCAGCATAGTTCTCCTCGTTTTGTGGCACGGCCATGTGTCGCCACAGATATTGCCGAGCAAAGTTGAGCGCAAAAGCGGCCGCTGAGGCAGAGGCGGAGACGGAGGGCATGGTCGCATGAAAGGCGCTACGCTCACCGCCCATTAATAATGGAACTGATGCTGTGATTGAGGCAGGCGGCGCTGTTGCTGTTGTTGTTGCTATCACTGGCACGGGACTGGGATCGGACATGACCATGGCCATGGTACGGAGATGGTGGCCTTGGGCCATAGGGCTTCTGTTGGTGCTGCCGGTGGCTGAGGTGCTCAACTCCAGCGGAACTGTAGTAGTAGCTCCTGCTGGCGTCTGTGACTCCGATGCCGAGTCGCGTTGCTTCAGCTGATTGACCCGTTGGTGGCGTCGCCATTTCGCTCGTCTGTTGGAAAACCAAACCTAATTCAATCAATCGATGGAGAGACAATTTGTTAGTCATTAAAAAAAAAGAGAAGCGGAATCTTTTTTTTTTCTTTTTTCGTTTGTTTTCATTTTCATTTTCATTTTTTTTTTTTTTGGTTAGTAATCAAAAGGGGCGAAATTTGTGGGGATGCCGCGAAATATAAATAGAGTTCAGATTCAACTCTTAACTCACCTGCACCCGCGCCTCGCTGAGCATTGTGCGCGATGCTAGCTTCTCCCGCGTCCCAACGCACGGATAATGACTCTTGTCGAACTCCTTCTCCAGCTCGTCCAGCTGCTCCGGACTGAATGTTGTGCGATTGCGTCGAAATTTGGGCTGATCACTGTCCTCCGTGTCGCTGTCCTCACCCTCAATATCTGGCAGAATATATATATATAATGTCGATATATATAACAGTAGTCTCTGTTCACTCACCTATCATTTGATTCGCATCCACATCCGGCGAATGGCAGCTGTCCCGGCTGCCCGACTCTGGCGATAAAGCTGGCAAGGAAAAACGTCCGCTGCCAGCGCTGCTGCCGCCGCAGGCACTCGTACAGTTGTTGTTGTTGTTGTTGTTGTTAATATTTGAATTGGAGTTGCCGTCGCTGTTGTTGTTGCTATTGTTGTTGTTGTTAAAGCTGCTACCCGGTGGCAACGAGCTACTCGCGGCCATCGGCACAGTGCCCCAAAGTGGATGATGGCCGGGCAGACTAGCCGGCCAGGTGGGAAAACTTGTGTAGGGATGTGGATGCGGATGCGTTGGATGCAAAGCGTAGCCATAGCTGGCGGCCCGAGCAAATTCCGCGGCGGCTCGCTCGGCGGCACGATTGCGCAGGATGCGATTGATGCTGCTCACAGATGGAGCCGTGGCATTCGTGCAAACACCTAACACAGGCAAACATGGAGATTGAAACGATTAGAATATATGCTAAGCCTCGGGAGAGCTCGACTAGGAGATGCTCTGAGCGCAGCTGTTATTTCAGTTGATCAATCAATAATTATATATTACTTGGAAAGCTAAACTTTTGATTGTTATCCAAAATACAGAAAAAAACAACTTGATCTGCACTTGATTGACTGAAACTTATATTCCAAATTATAGCTCTTATAGTCTCTGCTGATCATGATCAAATATATATATGCTTTATGGGAACGGAGTTACTCCTTTCTGCCTGTTACACATTTTAAAATAGCTAAACTTTCAAGCTCTTTCCACTAGAGCTTTCTTGTTTGATTTATTCCTATGCCAAATACCAAATAAATTCTTCAATTTATTCATAATTTAACTGAGTTAAACTGGGAATATTAATCTAAATTCAAAGAGCAGTCAAACTGGCAAGTTTAATTCACTAATATCTGCTGAATTTGATGTAGTAGATTAAATCGACATATATCTGATGTAAAATAGTTAAATGTCTTCAAATGCAATTGCATATGTTGTATTTTGAAAGCAGTAGCTGTGGCTAAACGGATACTGGCGCCGGATGCAGTGCGTCGTGACCTGCTCATGAACCCCAAAGCTCGACTGACGCAAATTAGATTGACTGTAATGAGCAGACCAGTTGCGATTGTGATCTACATTTGGCCAAGCTTCAGACTCAGCCACAGTCACAGTCACAGCCAGAGTCAGAGTCAGAGACTCGCAATGACTCGGACTATGGTCTTTGTGTGTGTTCGAACGTCTCATGTGAGCGATGGCAATCGGACGATTCATCGCACAGCTCGATTGAGTGGACTACAGCAGGGGGATGCAGTGTGTGTGTGTGTGTCTGTGTTTGAGGGGGGGAATGCCAGAGTGAGTGACACAAATGTGAGCACATTTACATATCAATCGAGTGGAGCCAAGGAGCGGATGTTCATAAATTAGCCAATCGATAAATCTACCACAGAGCGAAACAATATATATATATATAAATATATATTTATATATATTGGTAGCATGTACAAATGTAACATTAAATGAGGCAAGGGAACGCAGTTCTCTGGACATGGACCATGGCTAATTCGTTTTTCGAGTACGATGCCGAGTACCATAAACACATCAAGCCCCGATGCTGTCATGATGTTGCAGGAGCAGCAGTTGGACCTCAGCTTGGAGCTGGATGTTGAATGTTACGCGTAACCCTAAGTATGCCCGCCCAGACGCAATTCAATTGATTGTTGCAGTTGACGTTTTGCAGTTGCTTCAGTTTCGAGCTTGTCACTGGTTTTGTGCAATTTGGCTTTTGGGAGTTCCCATCAGTTCACTTTAATTAGCCACTGTGGCTACTTGTATTGATTGTGTCCCTCTTCTTACTTCTTATATGAGATGAGATGGTCGTTCTCATTGTTCCGCTCACTCACCTTCGCTAATCAGTCTCTCGCGTATTTCCCACGCGAATATCGTTGGGTTCTCGCGTTTGTATTGCTCTATCTTGGAGACAACGGTTGGCGTGGCCACCTTTGGCTTCGAGCCGCCAATCAGTCCAGGTGGACGCAGTGTGCCTGGAATAAAATAAATAAAGCAATCAGTAAGAGTATTTTTTCTCATTCTTAAACAGTTGTGATTTTCAAACATTAAAGATAGAGTTATAAATATATATATATAAATATAACACAACAATCACAAGACTCACAAATTTGTGAGCACGGAAACGGAAGATGTTTGTTAAAGGCGGAAAGGTTTTGCTTTAATTGGAGCACAGCTCATTTGTCTTAACTTGTGAATTCAGTCTTAAATTCCAGCTAATCACATTGGAAACAGAATTGAAGTTCGTATATAAAAAATATGAAAATTATCGAACGAATATCTTATGCTATTTGAGTACATTTTTCGCTTGACACACAGACCAACTGCTTTAACACCATTTGACCTCTGGCCCAGAGAGCAGCCTCATTCAACTGTAGACACATGCAGCTGCCTTGAGGGCTACTCGCATAATTTTCGCATTATCAATCACTGCTCCCGGGTACGACACATATACAACATATACAACACACAAACAGAGACAGTATCCGCACCCGTGGGCCGTGTGGGCGTTTCAAAACAAATCAAAAGCCCGCTGGCTACCCACGGCGAGCTGCCTGCTAACTGCTATCTGCTAACTGCTACCTGCTGCCAACTAACTAACTAACTCACCAACTAGACAATTGAAGTCGCGTTCCGCCATTCAATGGGGCGCTAATTTGAATATTTGGCAGCGACACATTCATGCAACAACAACAACAAAGCAGCAGCAGCAGCAGCAGCAGCCTCAGCGCAGCTTCGATGATAATTTGTCGGAAGCGAGTGACAGGCGCATGCTGCTTATCTTGTGAATAAGTTGCGAGAGATCGGCTACAGGCAGAAAAAACTAACATTAAAAGATTGAAGATTTATGGCACAAATATTGTGGATTATAGCCAGTATTAACTTTAATTATTATTGATGATGAATAAGATAAGATCTCATACGACACTATCTATTTATAACCAAATCTAGTTGACTGTGGAATATCGTCTTAACTTTCCATATCATTGAGAATGAATAAGATTAAGTTTTTATCCGATAACAACTGTATTTATAATCAAATAAAATTGACTATGGAATACAACTAATATTAATTAATTTATATATTTATATTGCAATCCATGCAGATTAGTATTAATTGCGTATATCTTTGAGATTGATTAAGATAAGAAATTATGCGACTCAAATTTTATTTACAATTCAATTAGCTGTGGAATATATTTGGTGTTACATTTGAATATCATTGAAAATGAATGACTTATCTTATACGACTATGGATAAATCTAGTCTTATATATCAATAATGATGCTTATATGGCATTTATAGCATCATTTACTTGACTATAGACTTTAAATAGTATTAATTTGAAATATCTTTGAGAATGAATAAGACAAGATCTCAAATGACAAGAATTGCATTTTTAATACAGCTAAATTGACAATGATAAGTAGCTTATCTTATATGACAATGTACTCATAACATAATTAACCAGTATTCATTTTATGAGGTTGAGGAACCTATCTTATATGACAACAAATTTATGAAATCTTGACTGAAATTTGACTCTTGAATATTACTAAAATTCACACATTGTGTTTGAGCTTAACAACACATTTGTAACACAAATTGGTTTAGCTTCTCTCAGTGTATATCACAGTTACTTCTATATAGGCATCGGTGCCTACTATTCAATGTTTGAACTTATGCAAATTAGACGTTGCGAAAAACGGAAATTACTTACACATTTACACTGTATTAAATGAGCTAGCGACAAGGCGCTCTCCGCACACCTCGCCCCTACACTGCAACAGACGTCAATTAAAGTAGTGTGAATGAATTATTGTCGCAACGGCTGCGTACCGATCAGATAATATATGTGAGTATGATTCAAAGATAGCTCACTGAATGGTTGTAGTGAACGAATTGAGTCGTGCTCAACAATAAACTGCACTTGTTTAACCGACTGTTGGGGAGATCAAGTCAGGTCAAAATGCATAACGCTTCTACTTGCATAGTTGTAATAAATAGATGATTATGTATCTCTTATCAGAACTTTAATAGATGGCTTCTATATATATTTGAGAATCAAACAGAAGTTAATTCAATTCGAAATGAACTGTATCTAAAACAGAGATAATGCAACCTTTTCTTTGAGCTATCAGTCACATTATGTCAAAGACTGTAGAGATAGATATACTCGTATATCTCTTTGGTCTTTGGTTATATCAGACGACAATGATCTGGCACCAGATGAGAACAAAGAGTCAAAGCTTTAGACACCCGCTTCAGTGCCCCCTTGGAATTGGTAGACTTTGTTCGCTAGGTGCGCAGAATTGCAATTTGGAGCACGAAAACAACAACAGCAACAACAACAACAACAAAAATAAAATAAAAGTCGCAACAGGTGTGCAGCCAACAGTATTGTGTGTTGGCTATTGGCCAGGTGGGCAGATTGGGCATGGTAAGGTGCAATCGATTTGTCGTGTTTACGTGGCCCCCAACACAATCTGGAACTTACAGTCGCGCAAATCGATTACGGACGCTTGAGCCCCTAATTCAGTGGGACACACGACAATTGCATTTGGAGCGCGTGTTATGCAAGCACGATGATTACATTCGTCAGGCTGAACTTGCACCCTTAACGACGCCAGCCGACACCCCCTTTATTCCCCACTTCGACTTACCCAGCAGCTTGGATACCGCTCCCTGTTGCGACAGCATATGTTGCGCCAAATCATAGCCACGCAGTCCAAAACGTGATAGCTCCAAAAGTCGATGCTGGGACGCCAGAGCGCTGAGATTTGTTGCCGCCGCCGAGCCCTGAGCTCCATTGCCAAAGAGGGAGGACGCTGCCGAGGGGCAGTGATTGTGCGTAAGCGCTGCAAGGAACAAAGACAATAAGACAGTTAGAAAGAGCGTACACTCAGACAAAATATTGTCCATAATTAAGAAGAGAGTTTTTGAATTAATTCCTAAATTAACAAAAGTAAAATTTCTCAGAAATAGAAAAGCTGTGAAAAACAGTCCACAAAATATTAAAAAACATTTTCTGAAAAGTAGAAAAGTATCCAGAACTCAATGAAAAAGCCTTCAAAGGAATGTGAAATAATAATCTGAATTTTAAAGACAATTCTTATCTAGTAGATACTATCGATCTATTCATAATATTGATTATTCTATTTGTCTTTCAACTTTTTGTGACGCACAGTAATAATCAGGGATTCAGGGTAGATTACTAACGAAGAGTTAACGTAACGTTTATTAAATGATATCATATTATTCTCTGAGTGTAGAAGAAAGAGTGCGCGAAAAATCATTAAATGTCAATTGGAATTTAAACGAAGCTGCTGCCAGAATTCCGCGCATGGCAGCCAAACACCAAGAAATTTGTAGCACAGAGTGGGACAACCATCGGATTGAAGGAAGGAGGTGGATGCGGAGAGGGAAGAGTAGAGGAGGGTAACAGATGATTGGACAAATTTCGGTCTGTTTTTGATCGAGCACGTCCAAGTGTAAAGACACAAGACACACAGAGTCAGAGTCAGAGTCAGAGGATCGCCTCAGTGTCCGTCGCCGACGAAGACGAAGACATTGGCAGAAAGTGACGAGCGCTGCAGTCGCTGGCGGAAGTGTCAACGTTTATGGTCATAATGGCGTGTCAAGTGGACGTGGTGTGGTCCATTACCTGGTCGAGCCTGGCCAGCGCGATCGACTGCCAACACAGTCCCGATACTGCTAATTTGAGTTGGAATTTATGAAATTCCTGATGTCTCCGTTGCAGTCCCTGGCAATTTGTTGGGTTCAGTTTTGTTTTGTGCTTTTGGTATATATAGGTATTGTTCCCTCCTTGCCGCACCATGCTCTGGCAGCGATTAGCAATTCCTCAGATGTAGAAGCTTTTATGTTCATTTTGACATTTTATCTGATCGCGAGAACTGCACACATTTTAACACCTCGCCTTTTTGCGCTACTGTTGTGTGTGGCATTCAGTTGTGGTCAGTTGTTGTTGGCAGGATGCCTTGGTATGCTCTTCAAGTGGGGCGATCTCTCTCTCCATCTCTGAACTCGATCTGACCCTCTGATACACGCTGAGAAAAACTGTGCCCCAGAAGCCCTAAGCTCACCTACTTTTTTTGGGATCAGAATTACTATTTGTGAATCAATCGAGTGTTTTATGTAAATTTATGGAAAAGTATTTCTTGAAAGTGGGAGTAGATAATATATTAATTGGAGTACTTTATAAGTGCTTATAAATAAAAAGTATTTCCGAAAAGTAGCACTCTCTTTATATTCATCTAGCCTTTTTTCTCAGTGTACGTACGCATTTTGTGCTAATTAAAGGTGATGCGTACACAAATGCTGTGCAATTTGTTGCAGCCGCATGTTGCGGCAATTGCTGTGGTCGCGTTTATATGGTTATGGTTATGCCTGATTTATATGCCGCGCTCCAAACAATTGACGACCAGACCAGGCCAAACCACAGCAGCCGGTAGCCGGGAGCCACAAGTCACATGAAGTACTCAGTCGCGTTCGCACCGTAGACTTGCGCTTATGCCACGGATGTCAACTCTCTCACACAGCGACTGCGGCAAACTTGACCACACCGATGATTTAGTAGCCGATGTTGAGGGGGCAATGCGACAGCTTGGGCTGCCTCGACGCGCCTCAGTCAATTGCAAAATCGGCTTAAAAATCGCACGACTTGGCGCACAAACTTATAACAAACAAGAAGCGACGCCAGAGCCAAGAGAGTGCCACATCCAGATCCACATCCAGATCGGGATCGAGCCAACTGCGAATGTGCGTCGCCAACAAAGAGCAGCAGCAGCAGCAGCAGCAGCCGCAGCAGCAGCAGCATCAGCAGCAGCAGCAGCATCAACAGCAGCAGCATCAGCAGCAGCATCAGCAGCAGCATCAGCAGCAGCAGCATCAGCAGCAGCAGCAGCACAAGTGATGATCGCCTCGGAATTCAATTGATAGTTTGATTTATTGCTACCGGTAAACTTTTTGCCGCACCGCATTGCATATAAATTAAAGTTGAAAGCGTTTTTTTTTTTAAGTACTTCAGCCCCATTCTATAGTCTACCCCTCCAACTGTCTCTCTCTCTCTCTCTGATTTTTCTCTCTCTCTCGCTCTCACTTTGCTCTGATGTGTTGTTGTCCCGCCTTGTGGCTCAGTTGCTGCTCGCTGATCTTGTTTGTCGCGCGCAGCACATTACTCGTTGTCTGCGAATCTAGGAGCTTCTGGTTTTATTTTTGTTCCATCCAGTAATGCGTCATATTGTGATCTTCGCACTTTTAGCTCTCTCGCTTCCACAGCGAGCTGATCGCATTTGCAGTGAAAAAGTTGCCCAGCAAATCTGGATTAATTAAGGCATGTTTATACCCATGTTGAGGATGTTTTAATTTGGTGTTTTAAATGTACAAAACATTGAAAGAGACGTTTATAGGGTAATAGTTGGTATATACTATTGATTAGCGTCACCAGGCGAGTCCATATAGCCAAGATCGTCTGCAGTTTCAAAGCATTCTTCACGAAACTCGATATATGTCCGCCTTTTTGCTGAATGACCGGATCTGATCAGTATATCACGTCTCTGCCATAGGAGCACTCTGTCGAAAGATTTACTCTGGTCTTTCAATATTATGTAATCTTAAGATTCTGAATAACTCACTGAATTCTGTTTTGTGCATAAATGAAATAAATTGAAATATCTCTGAAATTTTGAGGGTCTGCATAAATTAAAAATTTCGAAGTTCGTTTTAATTTATTCGTTTATTTTTACATTTTTACGATCATAATCGTGTTATTGCATGCATTTCAATATTTATTTTACAATAATTGTCTGAAATTAACTTTTTAATATTGATATTAATTTCTTAAAAATTGAAAACACTTGCGTTTTCAAGGCAATTCTTATTTGCACATCATTGCTTGTCGTGCAGCCATAAATTTGGTAAATAAAGGCAGACAAAACATGCTTAATGAGAAAGAGGCTCATCCAACCTTGTAAATTACTTATCTATTTGATCAGCACGAAAATATAAGTCAAGTGGTCTGATCTGGTTAAGCTTTCATTTAATATAACTGCATTATCGAGTCTACTTAAGAAGTCGGCTAAAGAAAGTAACCAATAACCGTAGATATGGAAAGGAGATGAGTAACAGACATTTAATCAGATCTATGAACAAGATAAACCCAAATTAGATCACATCCAGTTAGAGCATTTACTTATTCCCTCAAAATGCACTTGAGACATGGCCAAAAGCGGAAGGGGATGCCCCAAGAAATTTCCGGTCAAGTGACTTGTGCTAGAAGATAGAAGCTGCATGCCCGGTGACATAAATAGCATAAGCATCATAAAAGTACATAGTTGGACTCAAATGTGGAGCATAATGTGAGCATTAGTGGCAAACCAGATCGAGGTAACCAGCTACGTCAACGTACACTCGAAAAATCATTGTGCACACCTTTTATACGCTCGGCTTTCTAAGAATAATGCGAATACACGCATCAAGTAACCCGAGACCCTTAAGTATGGTTTCTGCGCAGTGCTTAAACATCAATGTATGCCATGTACCCAGCTCTGAGATGGTGTGTGTCGACTGTGTGTAGAGTGTGTGTGTGTGTGTGTGTTGAGTGTGTGCCTTTTGCTGGTTTAGCCATTCTCTGCGCTTTTTTATAATTATTTATTTATTGTGCAACTTCCAACACCTTTTAGAGACAAGTCAAAGCTTTTGCACGCTGCAACCGCATTGGGCCTCGCCTCTTCGTCGCACCCCGCCTCGTCTACACGCCCTCCCCTCGGTGCACCCCGTTGTGGCAGTTGTAGTCGCATCTCGACGTGGCCAACTCGATGGCCGACGACATGAACTAATTTTATTTGACAACCCATACTTGTGCAAAACAAATTGCCACTGATGTGCGAAAGACCAAAACAGTTGGCAGCCCAGCTCGGCGTTGCAGTCAGCTCTTTTTTAGCCATGGCTCTTGCTGTTGGTTTTGGTGTTTGCTGTTGTTGCTGTTGTGAAATTTCCAAATCATTGCGCTTTTCCAATGGGTTGTCATCAGGCAGCCGCTGCGGCTCGGTCAGAAATTTAATTTTGAGTCTGGGCTTTTGGCTTTTTGGCGGCCAGTGGCACCAGTTTCAAATACAAATACAACATGCATGCCTTGTTTTTTGGGTTAGTGTAGTCCCTTTAGTCTTTATCTTCTTTTTGCGCTAACCTATATCCTTCACATTTCAAGGAATTCCTGAATGTTTGGACTTGCAAGGTGCTGAGCTGGCTAACTTTACTGGGAAGCAGTTGGATACACTCAGACAAGCCAAATGACAGGCCACCTCGGGTGTTATTCTTTTGTAAAATCACTCATTACAGAGAATCTAGTGGATGTTCTTTCATCTTTACAGAAGTTAGAAAAATCAATAAAAAATCCATTTTTGCAATAATTGATTGACTGTGGAATGTATTGAAAATATATTCCTTCTGGAAGAATTTTTATTTATTTTCATTGTAGACGTTTTCAAATTCTTTTCACGAAAGCTTCATTTTATTCCTATTGTCAAACAGTTTTTGTATACCATTTTCCAAAGCCACAAACATTTTGGTTCAACTATCCACAACAGTACAATCGAAAACTATATTTTACAAATTTTTATTGACACGCGGATTTATTACAAATAAATTTCATTAAGAAGAATTTTCTGTCTCAAAAAACTTTCTTCGATTGCAGAAACCATTCAGTTTTAAACAAGAAAAACTAAATTCACTTACATTTTATTTAGAAACTTTTTCCTTTGATAGTAATGAACTTGGTTTATTTTTTCTGAGTGTAGCTGCAGCCATAGCAGCAGCGGGTATCTAACTTATTGTGCTTAGAAGAGTCTAAAATAATTTTCAAATATAAATTGAAGAGACTCACCTGTGGGTGGTGTGGGTGAAGCGGCGGCTGTTAGATTTGTTGGACTCGTTGTTGCCGTCGGCTGTGCACCGCTTTTGGCTGCACTGCTGTCCAAGCCACCCAGCAACTGGTGCAGATGGGGTGGCATGGGCACGGCAGCCAGGCCCACGGGCAAACCTGTGGCTACGCCTACAGTGGGCATGACTGCAGCTGCTGCGGCTGCGGCTGCTGCTGCTGCTGATGATGTTGTGACTACTGTACAGGTGGGCGTGGCAGTTGGATAATTGACGGCAAGCGATGTGCTGCTGTTCGTGGAGGTCCTTGTTGGAGCTGCTGATGTCGCTGTTGTTGTAGCCATGCCACGCACAACAAAAACACACACACAATTCACGACTATCGATAAGTTATGGGATAAATTACGAAAATTTGTTGAAAAAACAGCAATAAATATAAAGCGCGTGCGGTTCCTCAAAACTAACTAATTGGGCACGTGAATTATTTGGCAGAGCGACTCTTTAGCATTAACCGTCGGCCTTTTGAGCTCGTCTTTCGGCATTCACACACACACAAACACACGTAGACACATACACACACACACGTACAAATATACCACTCGAGAGACAGCGAACGGGAAACGTTCCCGTTCGACGCGCACTCACTCACGCTGTTGGCTGACGCCGACTGTGACTGAGAAACTGAGACAGAAACTGACTCGCCTCGTTTGCCTGGTCTCTCTGCCGGCTAGCAGTCAGCCGTCGCAGCAGCGCAGCTGATCTGAGCTTTGCTCTGTTACCGTTTTACTGCGTCTGCTTCGGCTTCTGCTTCTGCTTCGTCCCCTTCTACGTTGTCTGCTTCGCCTTGTCTTTCTCTTTGTTCGTGCAATGCTTGTTTTACTCGTTTTCGAGTGTGTGTGTGTGTGTGTGAGTGTGTGTGTATGTAGGTGTGTGTATGTGTGTGTGTGAGTGAGCCGTCGCACAATTGAGCGCTTCGTTGAGTTTCTGTTTTCAAACAGTAGTAAAAGTTCAATAATTAATTGACTGCCTAAGCAGTCATCGTTCGCTGCCTTTTGTTCAGCTCAACAAAAAACAAACTTTCGGTCACATTTTAATTGATGAGTGATTTTGTTTTGTAATACGGGGCGTATGTGTGACTTCAAAAAGTTCTGTATTCGATTTATTTGTGTTGCAGCTAGCAAAATGGCAGCAGAGGAGGCAAATCGGAAGCACATCGCACACTTTGATTATGATATATGAAGGCATTTCATGCTACTGCTACTGCTTAGTCGTCTTCTTCTTCTTTTACTTCTTATTGCTCTTCTTGCTCGTCTTTGTGGACGCCCGCTGTGAATGGAGCCCTGCAAAATGCAGCGGCTAAAAAAACGCATTAGCAAAGGCCAGGCAAAAAAGCTCAAGAATTTGCCGACTTGAGGCTAGCCAGTAACAGTAACCGATTAAGCTTAAGAACCAACCCCAAATGCAATGCGAGTGCGACAGAGATAGCGCTAAATCAAGTCCACCCTGCTCCTGCTGCTGTGACTATTGCTGCTGCGCGTGTCGTGCAAGTGCAAGCGAGACGCGAGACTTATGCACGGGTCACCACACACGGCACAGTGGGCAAAGCGACGCGCCTAATTGATTTATATGCCCATTCTTGATTCACATACATATATATAGATATATATATATTTATGTACATGGATTTGTGTGTGTGTGCGTCTAAAATGGTCGTTCGTCGCTGGTTGGCTTTGCTTTTTCCCTTACTTGCGGTGGGCAGCATGGGGCAGAAATTCGGAGCAAAAGTTTGTTTTTTCTTTTTTTATAATGGCTGCGATATTAGCTTTCATTTTCTTATGCTCTCCATGCTGATTATAGCATTTCGAGCGCAGTGCAACATGCGTGACTGACTCTGTGTAGGCTTTTCACGCACATACACACACACATTGTGCTGCATTGTTGCAAGTTGTAGGCGTCTGTTTGAAACGCAACAAAAGTGTCGCTAAAATAGCCGGTTCTTTTTTGAATAATTACAGCAATCAGGCGATATGTCAATTTTTTGCACAAATTATAGTATTTTAGAACTTTGGGATATTTATTCGATATCGACAGTGATTACTGATGAGTCCCCGACCGCCCCTCATCCATGAAAAATAATCAATTTTAATGGGCTATAATTTGCTACCGCAAAGCAACAATAATTCAAATTAAAAGGCAAACTTTAACCGGCAAAATGCCACCACACACAACACACACACACACACAACACAACACTCACACACACCACGTCTAATAGTTAATAGTTTGTTTATTTTTATTATAGATAAAAGACTACGCAAAGTTTTTATTTTTCGAGAGAGAGAGCGAGAGAGAGAGAGAGTGAGAGAGCTGCACACACAAAAAGTGTCTTTTAAATTGTCTTTTGCTGCGACTCATTTTCACACTGTCTCTCAAAACTTATATAATCGAGAAATGCCGATGTCATAATTATGCGCTCAATTTTCTGAGTTGCACTCACAATTTGAGTGAGAATGTTGCGCTCTGCTTGCGGCAGAGGCGTGTCAGTCGCACCAATGCTGCTTTAGCTACCCACACAGCCGACATCTCTTTCTAACGCAAGCAACGGCTGCATCTGCTCAACAGCCAATCAAATGCGCCGAACGAATTGTATGCTCTCAATTGGAATGTAATCGCTTCCGACTGAGTATAGAGGTGTGCATGTGTGTGTGCTTGTGTGTTTGCTTGTGTGTGTATTGTGTGTGAGTATAGAAAATCATTATTGCTGCTGCTTGTTTCTCACTGCAGTCGATTGCCGCAGATTGGCTAATGGCGCTCGGTCGACGGCCCCCCCATTCCTCCCTCCCTTTCACACTGTGCGAAAGCCACTTGATGATTGATTTTCATTTTGTTTTTGGGCCAGCATGATTGATTACGTTAATTACGCGCCTAATTAGGCATTTATCACTGTGTATCTAATGGGCACATAAAGTCCACAGCCCAGAGTCTTTTTATATACGCCATTTGCATGCCAATTGTCTCGCTGTTGGCGTCGCTGCCAACGTCGACGGCGCTAACAAATTATGCTTGCGTCTAATTGCGTTTCGTGCGCCCTTTTTTTTCGAGGGTCTATCTAAGGAGAGGGGTTTGGGTAGAGGGTGGTGGTGGTGGTGGTGGTGTCTTTAATTATGGCCGCCGCCTGACAGCCAGCCGTCGCCATTATTTTTAACATTATTTGACTATTATTTTTGTTATTTTTATTATTTCTTTTTGGGCAGTCGAGGTAGTCGAGTGTTCCTAGTCAGATAGGCATCTAGTATCTACATGCAAGTGGCAGCCAATGCCCAATGCCCAAACTCAAGACCCGGCCAAAACTCAAAGAGGCAGAGTCAAAGCCCTGCTGCGCGCAGACCGCGCATATTTGTGGTAGCCACGCTTCCTGTTTTTGTTTGTTTGCCGTGGCCCCTGTCCCTGTCTGTCTCCCTGTCTCTCTGTCTGTCTGTCTCTCTGTCTGTCTGTGTGTCCGGGCAAAGTACATGTTTCAGGCAAACAACATAGACACAAGAAGTTGCACTGTTGTGGGCTTTTTTGTGGCCACGGTTAGCGGCGCGGTGATGTTTACCCATATGTAGGCATATGCATATGTTGATTACGATTGCGGGCAGCGGGGCAACGGGGCGAGCGGGGGCGAGCGGTGTGGGGTATGTTTTTTGAGTCTATACGAATCAGTATTCATAAGTGCCTAGCCCCTGACTATAGTCACAATGGCCACGAAACTCTGTGAACCGTAAAAATGAAATTTTTGCCGCCGCTGATGAACAGTTTTTCTTCTTCATTTTTTTTCCATCTTCATTTGCTGATTAAGAAAAATGCCCAATAATTAAAAATGGTTAGTTGTTAGCAGGAACTGAGACTTTGATTAGATGCAAATGGTCTGGCCATATATTGTCTATTGCAGATGTCACAACAGTTCGCTTAGCGCATTTTAGCCTCGTCACTCGACAAAGTTCTTCAATCCGTTGCCAGCGGAAATGAGTTTGGGCTTCTCTCTTTTTGTTTGCGCCGCTTCGACAATGGCCGCCATCTGAGGAAGTGCTTAGCGCCTGACCAGAATTATAAAGTTCCGCCTTTTGTCTGGTGCCCACGAACACTCGTCTCGACCGAGGTGTCTAAAGCCTTTTGGCTTGAGTATGAACTAATCGATTGTTTTCATTGTGTGTCTTTTTTTTCTTGCTTTAATAAGGCAAACAAATGGCACTTTGCATGGGAGATACAAAAAAAAGAGAAGGGAAAGTATGTACTTATAGAATAATGTATAAATATACTGACATATTTTATATTTTATTTACATATATATTTATCTTGTACTAAAACTGAAATATTTTAAAAATTAACATTTAAATTTAATATTTCAAAAATACAAAATACGACAAAAAGAAGTAAAATTACGTACTTAAATATAAATATATATTTATATAAATACATATTTATATAGTGAAAAATATATCAATTGCAGAAACATTGTTATTGAAGCTATTTATAAACATTTCTAAAGTTTTTGTTTTGCAATACAAATGTTGGCCGAGTTTGCCTTTAACTAAACAACTAAAAGAGGTTTTCTTTAGAGTTTTCTTTTGGCTACAAACACATATTTTCTTTTAAGAAACAGAAGCGACTATTCGATATCGATTTGCATATAAGTACATAAATTAAAGACAAGGACATTACTGGCGAGGCCGAACCGACTTGGTAGTGCTTACTGCTGCTCAAAATTATAGATTAAACAGTTCAAGGATATTCGTAGGGATATGTATTTCTGATAATTACAGACATATTAATAAGGCTGATATGTCCGTCATAATATTATGAATAATGCAGCTTTAGAAATCCATTGGTATCGTTACCAAGATGAAGGTGTGTGCAATAGTTGCTGGTAGTGGATTCATGTTCATCATCTACATATCTCTACATTGTATACACGCACTGGATGAGATGACCCCCACTCGCTAGCTGGCGGCGACTGGCGAATTGTAATGATTAACTCCTCGTCGTCGCTAAATTAAGTGAGTTTTTTGCTAAACAACATAACAACGATGAGGGTGGGGTGGGTTGAGAAGGGGAGGGGAGGGAGTTAAGGCGACGATGCGGGCAAGTTGTTAATGCTGTTGCTCCTGCGACAAGCTAATTCTGCTGGCACATTGCGTGTCTGGGTGCAGAAATGATTTCCACATACCACAGCAGTTAAAGCCCTTAAGTCAGGGAGAAAATCCAATTAAATTCGGTAGCGAAAGAAATAAGTCCGAACTGTCGGTAAAATGATTCTACATACACGTATTTGCGTCAACATTGATTTTGACCGGGACGCGGAGATGCAAGATGGGAGACGCGAGACGCGAGACGGGAGCTGAAAGAGAGAAGCGGGGACGGAGACAGACTAAAGTAGTTCATGTGCATGGCGTGATTGAGGACGAACACAAAGCTGAGGACAGCAGCAACTGCAACAGCAACAGCAGCAACAGCAGCAACATCAACTTCAGCAGCAGTTTGGCTGAGGCGTGATCCGAGTTTTGTTGACTGTTGGCATCAGCATCAGAGTCAGTCGCATTCGGTAGATGGTTCTTTGGCAGCGGCAGCCGCAAAACCGTCCAAAAGTTGCGTGCCCATAGGTCTTCTGTGTAATTGCGCAACAA